AACGCCGTACCAGAGTATTATGGCAACGTACCCAATATCCTACCGACCGCAGCTCCTATAATTATTACTGTAAAAAATTAAAACTGGAAATAGCCAATTTCAGATCACAATCCTTTAACTCCTATTTATCCTCCCTCTCTGCTTGTGATAATTCTCTTTGGAAAACCACTACGCAAATCCTAAACCTTCAATAAATTTCCCATCCACTCCGATGAGATGACGGCTCCTGGGCAGCATCTGACGATGATAAAGTCGAGGAGTTCGCCAAACACATCTCCAATACATTTATTCTCCATCTGTAAAAACAAACAGCCCATACCGTAACAATAGAAGAATTCCTTACACCATCTATCCCACTTTCCTTGCCCCCTAAAGCAATTCATCTTCCGGAAGTGAAATTTCAATTACAAAAGCTAATCTCCTATAAATCTCCTGGAAATGATCTAACCCCTCAGATCCTTCAAGAACTTCCATCCAAAGCAGTCATGTTCCTTATATATATATATCTACAATTGCATCCTGTGCATCACTCACTTTCCTCTATTATGGAAACACTCCATCATTATCCTTTTCCCAAAACCAGCCAAAACTTCCAACAGCTTGACCTTCCAATCCTTTCAAAAATCTTTGAAAAGGTCCTTTTGAAACGAATCCTACCCCGCATAGAATTCTAAAATCTTCCTTCCCATCACGTTGGTTTCGCTCGAAACATTCCACAGTTCAATAAGGACTTCAAGTCGTTGATCATATATCAGCAGCCCTAGAAAACAAACAATACTGTTTGGGTGCATAGGGCACAGTACAGGCTTTTGACCGGGTATGGTACCCCGGGCTGCTCTTCAAGCTTAAAATCCATCTCCCTCAGTCCTTATGCTTAATCCTTCGATTCTACCTCTCTGACAGTTTCGAGTACGCTGTGGAACAGCATTTTCGAATATCCATCCAATTAAAGCCAGTATTCTCCAAGGCAGCGTCTTTGATTCCGTGCTTTACATCCTCTTTCCTACTGACATCCTTGCTCATTCCGATACCATCCTTGCATTATTTGCTGATGACACCACAATCCTATCATCCAACTCAGGTCCTGAAATAGCATCCTTAAATCTACAAAGGCACCTCTCCCTTATTGAGCACTAGTGTAATGAATGAAGCATTAAAGTGAATGAGTCGAAATGCAAACATATTATCTTTACTCTCCGACGCAATTCCTCTCCACCAGTACACTTTAATTCCATCCAGCTTCCTTACTCAAACCCAGTCTGGTATCTTAGTTTTCTCTAAGACCAAAGACTTACATGGAACCCACATATTAGACTCAACTGACGATATGGCCAGCTATATAGACTACTGAACAGAAAATCACAACTTTCAACTGACAACAAACTGCTGATCTACAAGACAATACTAAAACCTATTTGGACCTACAGACTAGAACTTTGGGGACAGCAAAATTTTCTATCATCAACCATGACCATGACCTTAATATCCCATTTGTCCTAGAAAATGTTGTTTCAAAATTCCATCAAAACCTTCCATATCATCCAAATCCATTTGCACAATCCCTCTCTAGCTCTACTCATCCCTGCAATCCTCCTCGAAGGTTGAAGCAGCAGTGGTGCAGAGACCTGTTGTAAGAATATATTGAAGTTCTGGCAAAGGCCAGATTCTCCTCTCAAGCCATATATGTCTGGTTATAGCGCCTCTGCTCAGCCTCCACTGGTCCTTAATACCAGTGATACGGCTGAATGAGAGGTGCTGGGATCTCCTGGAGTCCTGTCTTTCCTTCCACAAGTGGGGAGAAAGGCTTGGCCCGGGGACCTTGATTGAATGAATATTGTATAATAGCATGTATGTATTTAAGCAGTTATTTTGATTAGTTTATTTCCTTTTGTTTAGTTTAGTATCTTTTAGTTTATATACATTTACTTTTAGTATTATTATATTTCTGTTTATTTATTGTGCCTAGCGTGAATGAGCTACTCTTTATTACTATTAATATTGTCCTTAAATGTGACATATTGTAATATATCTTAATTAAGAAAATTTCTGGATTGGCAAAAAAGATTTAAAAAAATTATTATAAGATTTTATTTTTTGTTCTTACATAAGCATTTATAACCTAATAATTGCTCATTCAAGCCATAAAAATAATTTTTAGAATAAATTCCTTTATAAGCTAAAACTTGAAAATATTTGTATTTTATGTCTTAATGTATTTTATATTTGTATCTTATGTCTTATTGGTCCTTATTCTTTTATGGAGGTAGGATTTATGCCATTTTGTCTAGCCTATGGGGCCCAAATTCCCCGATCATTTTATCATGAAGACACCTTAAAAGTCACAGTTTTGTGGATCTAGAAAAAAATTGAAGGGTCCAGGTAGCATTGTCTTAGAAAAAGTTTGTAGATTGAATGCCAGTTTAATCCTCAGATGCTTACTTCTTTAATTAATGATTCATATTACCACACATATTTTAAATACATTTTAAAATATATTCATTTTAATTTCATCAAGAAAACCTTGTTGCGTTAAATTTATTGATAATATTTGTTATATATCTGATGATAAAAAATATATAATATTGTTATAAAAATATAACATCATAAAAAATAATACAAAACAAATATTTTCTTGAAGTCAACCACCTGATTGATATCACACAGTATCATAGTAATACTTTATTTGCATACATAAGAAGTTGAAAAATAAAATACTTCTACTTGCACAATCTGAAAATCACCTTTTAACCTAGGATTTTTGAGTTTTTATATGAATGATTAAATTAAACAGATGCACTGATGTTACAAATATTCACAATTATATTATAAACATAACAATATGTTATTAATTTTTTAAATATAATTTCCAAACCATAGAAGTCTTTTTTGACTTATAGACACTTAAAGTGGTTTAGTCATTTCCATCCTTCATGGCATTCGACAACCTTGCACCAGGTACTTTCTCTGCACGTTGTTATCTCTTTACTTCGTTGTCTCTGCCTACCTGCTCGCTCTTGTGTATTGCCTAAACTGCCAATCTATGATGTTCTTGCTGCAGGTGTATATTCTTCTTCAGCCTACTATGTCTAACAATTGGATTTTACTTATGATCCATAATATCGTTTTCTGGTCTTTTCTAGTTATACCAGCATATAGCGTTCCATACGATGTTTGGTTATTTGCAGTTTTTGCATGACTTTATTGTTCAATAACCAGGTCTCACTACTTACGTTAGGACTGGCAGAACTGTAGCATCCAACAGATTTTTCTTTAATTTGATATCTACCTTGCTTTTATAAAACGCAGCATCATAGGCATTGTAAATCTTAACAATTTATATTCCTATATTTAAAATAAAGATTTAAATGAAAGAAAAAGAAGTTGGTTGGGAATAGATTAACATATAAATAAAAGTTTCTTCCCTATTTCTTTATTAACTACTTTTTAAATTAACATTTATCTAAATTAAAGGAATAGCAAGCTTTTTATTTCTTATAATTTCAAATAAAAATACAATGATTGAATTTGTTATACCAAATATATATATAAAAATTACACCCTGAATATTAGAAACTTGTATGACTGCTGGTGATCTATCAAAGTGAACAGTTCTTATTTCCCTATAAGCTGACTGGATCCTATGGGAAAAAATGAAAAATAAATAAATTTGTATTTAATTATTTTGATGTATTATTCATTTATTTGTAACAATAATTATGTTGCCTGCCAGCTTCTGCACTGCAGACATGTATGAATACAGTTTGAACTTGAAAATCTTTAAGTATTTTTTAGAAAATATATAAATATTTCTTGTGGTGCTGATTATGTGTCTGAGATTTGATAATAAATGAAAGAAATCAACATAAGTATAATTCCAGGAACCTCTCACTACTTGTTCAGAAGTAGTTAGATTCTTGAATATGATCCATTCAGTTTTATGTTAATAGCTGTGTTATGCTGAATAACGGTCAGTCTACCATCTTTTATTGGAGTACTAAGCCATGAAATTAATATATATATTTTTTTAAATTGATGAAAAAATGTAGAGACAAATGATGACTTGTGAATTTTTTAAACGAAACTGATCTGTGATCAACATTCACTAATGTAGCAATGACAATCTGCTCATGTCTATGGTACATGGAACATTTTTGATCTGATGCTATATTTTGATACCTTTCTCGAAATATTCAATGTTTTTTAGAAGAAATAAGACATCTGAACAAATCAATTGAAAAAAAAGTTTAATTCAACCAAAAACGTCCCATTAAATTTTATCATGGATAAGAATTGAAATATTTTAGGTATCACATCACCCGGTTTGAGATGTCGCTGTATTTATGTTTAGAAAAAAATTCATTCTGACGTTCATGTTTTTTTTTTAAGTTATTATTTATTAATTATTTTTACATTGTTGTTTTGAATTATGATGACAATGATGAGCTATTCAGTTATTTTTTTTTACATTATATGTTTACCTGAGCAGGTCATTAGCAGCATTAAATGGACTTACATTAGAGACACAAATTTGATGTCTTTTGTGAATTGAATTATTCTTTGTATTTTCTCTTGTCATCTGCAAGTGCCTGATGGATATATGGTGGAAGGTATATTGTGTTTTGTTCTGGTGACAGGGAAGTTGTGCTGCTAACCTCACCCAAAGAAAAACAAATGGGACAACAATGAGCTATTTATTACATTTTTCATAATTTTATATTTTTACAAAGCTGAATCATTACATTTTTTTATTTTTTATTAAAACATATAAAATGAATTTGATTAATATTGATTTTAAATGAATTCTCATCCGTCATTAGAAACTGATAGGTACAAAATTAATTTTTATTATTTATTTTTATATTTATAACATAAGAGTCCATTTAGCCAACATTAAGTGGCTAAAACTTAATGTGAGAAAAGTGTACATTAAATAACTATTAAAAATTAAAACCTGATTTACCTAGAATTTAAATATTCTCTTGCTACATCCCCTTCCCAATAGAGAAAGTGTCCATGTTCAACAACTTTTGTAATAATTTTATTATAATGCTTCAGATAAGGAGACCCTGTAAATAAAATAACTATATCTGTAAACGTTTTTTTTTTTATTTTAATACTTTTTTTTTAAGATACAAACCCTTCTTTATTGAAGCTACAAAAGGGGAACCAAATAGTTTCTGCTTCATAATATGATACATCGGAATGACATCCGCTGTTTGAAAATCTTGTTCAGTAATCGATCCTAAAAAAAAAAAAAGTAAAAATGCTTACTAAATAAAATACTTGCTAATGACTCTGCAGGGTAGAGGCAACAAAATAAAAGTTAAATAAATAAAGTAATTTAATACAAACAATAAATTTTTTTTATGAAAAGTTTTTAATATTCAAATATTTATAAGGACAAAAATTAAAATGACTTGTATTTTAGTTATTAAGATTTTCACATAAAAAGTAAATAATATACATAGTTTATTTATTAAAAACACTAATTTATACAAATAAAGCAAAAAATTTATAATAAAACCGAAAAATAATTTTTTAATGAAGAAACTTTATCTTGAAGAAGGCGGAATGATTTATTTCTAATCTTTCCATGAATAATAATTAATTTGATTTTGATAAATAATTTTGTACTTTGAGCAAATAAATAAAAATAAAATAAATTTAAGAATTCCATCAAATTATTATTTATTGCTCTTGATCCCTTCATGTTGTCTTCTTTCTTTGGAATTTAATTTGAAGACATAAAGATGTTTGCTTCTATACTATGGGTCTCCAAACTCTAGCCTGCAGGCTGGATTTGGAGATTTCTTTTACTACATGATAAAAATTTTAATAACTATTTCACTCAAACAATAGGTTACTAAAACTTTTATTTCATGATTTGTTTGTCTTAGAAATCTGATTTCACAACTATCGTTTTTATTTTCATCACAAGCTATGATCCTCGTTACTTAGTGAAGGTCCCAATGTATCTAGAAGGCCGAAAAATTTGGAGACCCCTATTCTAGATTATTCTAGTTTTCTAATCAAGGCTATAACGGTTCTTGATTAAGAAACTTGACTTTGAAGGTTTAATTTTGATTTGATGAAAATAGATATGAAATATATTGATTTTGGCTCCCAATAAATAGGATACTTCATAATAAAATGCTAATTTTTCTGCAATGATTTACTAGACAAATAAACCTTTTTCAGAAAAAAAAATATTTGAAGTTTTTGTGTTATTATTATTATTTTAATTATTTTTAAACCATGTTACTTATTTTATACCATTAAACTTATTTTATATTATTAAACCATGTTACTTATTTTATTAACTATAAAATTAAAATATATGGAGGTCCTCACCTCCTGGCAATCTTTCAACAGTAAAACCATACTTTCCTTCCTTAACTTTTTCTTTAAGTTGGTCCATAGTTAGTACCTGCGAATAATTTAATATTTAGTTTGCTAGGCATTGAACTGGTTGTTTGGTTATTTAAAGTTCACTTACAGCAAAACGGTCAACAATAATTTTTGCATCTTCTTCGTCCGAACCTTGGATTAGGAAAGTCCATGCAAAGTCTGTTCCATACCAATTTATACCACTCTGTGCAAAGTCGTGGAAGGTATCAATGGGTAGATGATATCTGTGACAGAACCATTCTTTAATCTTGCAAGTCCAGTTGAAATAAAATGTTGAAGCCTTTAATGTGAATTTAATATTATTTTTTGTTCATAGCTGCTTTGGAGAAAGCAATGCTTGTTAGTATGAAGTTCAGACATCTGATTTGTGATTAAAATTACATAAAACATCACTATTATATTAATTATTGCTATAAAAAACAAACTAAAAATAATTATCATGCACTTCATAAAGGGTCTCTCAGGGCAAACTGTGTAGCCTGATTTTCAACTTATTTATGGACAATCTGTTTTGGACTGTGTACTAATGTCTTCTTTCTGAAAAACTGGTATAAGATGGCTGTTAATTTTTAATTTTTTTAAAAAGTTTTCTGGGGTACAATCAAAGAAGTTGAACCATACTAAGTCGGACTTAGATTTATTGCATACCTGCATTTTGAACTACAAAGAGCTCTTCATCAGAGCTGTCTAGAAGTATGGAAGGATGAGAGATTAGTCATTACAAAACAACCCTGATGATTTAGGAATGCAATAAATCTGAGCCACACTTATTAGTGTGGTTCGACTATTTTTTTTGCACACGCCTGATTAAAACAACTACTTAAATTTATTATTAACAACATCTTCACCATATTTTATTCTTTACTTTATACCCCTACTTGGTAAGTAGCTAGGATGCCTAATTCTGAAGGAGCTCCTCACTGAACAGCTATTCGGAAGAAGACCAATTGGAAGACCAAACTGTATCCGGCTGATGATGTGATGGCTAAAGCAAGATCCATTTTTCGTATTAGAGACTGGAAACATAAATGACTGGTAATTGATGTTACAGAAGGCCTTGATCGCACGTGGGTTATACCCAAAAATGATGAAGATGACTTGGTAAAGAAAATATGGTAACTGGGTCAACTTTTTGATGAGTATCAAAGAGTAAGAGATTTTTACATTTCAGAGCTTCCTCAGCTCAGAAAATACGTTTTCGGCCATTGGACTGACTACATATCCCTGTAACAATTATTTCTTGAATGGGTGGACCAATTTTATAGAATATTTCTTTACTTATTCACTTTTCTTTATTTTCTCGAATAATTTAAGTACCAAATATATTCCTGAGCATTCCAGGTGATTTTTGATAAATGGCTAGATGGTCTACAAAGCCAAATTTTAATGTAAAAAAGAAATATAAAAAAAATATTGTAATCGACCCAGTATTAGTGAAGAAACAGCGAACGATTTGGAATTGGACTTCACACTCAAAGCAATGAGGAAAGTTGTGTGATTAGAAACACCAGGGTTTTTTTATTTTTATTTTATTTTTTTTGTATTATGGTTTATTTTTGTTCAAGAAACAGAATTATGAACTTACAAAGGGACAGTGAGAAAAGAAGCCAACTCCGCTGAATACATCGCTGAAAGTACCAAATATAAGAACTCATACGATGTGAATAGATAACGGTTTGGAGAATCTCCAATGAGGCGTGAAGACGGTTGTTGTAAAACGGCTAAGCCTATCGCTCTCATGCTGCTATCTTCAATTGTAGTAAATTGGACTTTTCTTATTAGCTTTTCTCGAAAACCTGAAAAAAATTTAAATTTAAGAGAATAACTTGTTTGACTACTTAACAGCACTAAGGAGCACCTTCTATAGTCAGTAATAGACAATTATTGACTACTGTCATAAAAAAAATAAAAAAAACTAACCTAGAAATTCTTTTGTCTTAAACAGCTATTTATGAAATTTGGAATACTTGATATAAGAGTGAAACTGAAACAATAATGGCTAAATTATAATTATATATAATTAATTATGTCCATTAGGGGTGTTTTCAGTGAAGGAGAACACACAAACAAGTAAATTTATTTAAAATGTGCCGAGATTTCTGCCTAATCTTTGAAAGTTCATCAGAGGAACAGGAATGAAAGTTTCACAAACTCTAAATAATTAGAGAATTATTTAAATATTTTGATTTAATAAGAATTCATTAACCAATTTTGAAATTTCTGAGGGAAAACAGTATGTCCTCATAGAGAATGATTTCCCTCAGCCAGTCGTAGAAGAAGAATACCCATGCTACAAAGTGTTTCTGTAAGAATGGAAGGACGCAGTATGCCCAGTCCACTTCAATCTTGCAAGAAGAGGACCAGTTGCTGGAACAAGGATTTTTTCTGGAGGAGGAGAAATATTAAAAACTGGAACATTTGAGCAGGGGTGCCTATCCTTCCCAATGTCGATAGCACAAAAACCTATTCCACCCCCACTCCCGAGTTATTTTATTGCTCATCTTTTCTTAAAAACAGAGCAAGCAGAGGTAGAATTAGAAAAACCATAGGTCATAAACAATTCCACTTGCTGCAGTCAAATGTTTCATGTTTTCTCCTTGTCGCTTAAAATAAAACGTTTCATTCTGAAAATTCATAACCCCGCTGAAATATGCTCCCCTCAAAAATCAAAAAATATACCCCCTTAAAAAATTGTATGTAACTGTAATTCACTTTTCTTGTAGGGGTTAGATATTATGCAGTTATATGTAATATCCCAATACTGCAAACACCTGTATTTCTTCAAAGGCAAAGAAGGGTTTATATAAACAATAATAAAATCAATTTTTTGTATTGTGGATAAAGACTCATTTTATCTATTAAATCTAAAATAAAATGTTAAAAAATTGCCTCCAATCAACTTAAGAAACATAGATTTAATTGATCGGGATTTAAATCATTAAGTATCTTCACTTCAGCAAGGCTAGAATGAGAATCAGATGGGTTGGTACTGGGGGCTTTCAAACTTCCCTACATAAAAATGATCAGCACAAATTGGATTATTAGCTCAAGGAAAAAAGAATCAATAATCTATAACAGCTCAATAGTTTTAGGTATGGCTTATATCTTATTTCTCTTATTTTAACTATCATATATTTTATTTATTTTCATCGCTTTTGTAGAGTTTTAATTCTATAGCAAGGGAGTTATACATTTTAACAATACCCCTCATATTACAATCTTCAATATAAACAGTAATAACAATCATTAATAATGAAATAAATAAAATAAAATTAAAATAAAAGTAACTTTTGCTAAAGTGCGATTATTTTTATTCTCTATATACATACATATATTTATGCAGGATATCAAGGATTAATTGCACAAAAATAAATAAAACCATATTAACAAAAAAGAAAAAGTAAAATCCCTCAAAAGTGAAAAAACGTTTTTCTTTCCAATAAATCAATGATCTATACACAGCGAGCAAATTCTGCAAACAGACTGAATAAAACTATATATTTTCTTCGATTCATTGGGCGCATTCAAAGAAAAAGGTATAGACAAAACATTATTTTTTTTTTTTTTCAATTTAACTATCTTACATTGTTCAGTAATTTGTGCAATTGCCACACAGATTTGCCCAATTATATGTCCAATTACAATATCCCACATACACTTACCATAACATTGTCCACTTTTTTAGTTTTTTTTTTTTTTAATATCCACAGGAATTTATAAGTGACCATTCCAAAATGTGAAATTCTAAAAAAAAAAAAAAATATGAAAAAGAGTTGAGATCTTATTGGCTATCTTGAAAAAATCTGAATACTACAGCAGAATTAGTAGGATCCCATAAGATTTGATGTCTGAAAAATTTTAATTTTTGAAAAATATTAATTAAATTATTATTTTTTCTGGAACGATTTTTCTTTTTTTTTTTTTTTACTTTTTTATTATATTACTGACAATAGAAGGGGACTTATATGTTATAAAAAATAAAATTGAATTTACGGGTGAATTTTATTGATGCTTTTGTGATCAAATATAATGAAGATGCTGATAATACCAACGAAACGAAAAATGCAATCCACACATCAAATTTAAAAGGTAAAAATGGTAAAATCCATGCGCTTATTTTTTTTGGTTTCGGGATCATAAGAGTGACATCACCAGATAAATAGCTGCTCGTATAGTCAATATAATACCATTCCTTAAGCCAAAGATAAACAGCCATTACTCCAATATCAGCTCTATCACTGTAGCAGTTACCTAGGACACCTATAAATATTTGCATTTATAAAACATGTTAAATGAAACTTACTAAATAGGTGATAAGAATTTTTTATACCATCTGCAGACAAATTATCATAAATTGTTCCCCATAGTGCATTATCAAAGACAGGCTCTGGTGTACAATTATGTACTTCACAAAAATACAGCGCTATTCGTGTTTCTGAACCTTCCAAAGGATCTGGAGAGCTTAAAGGAAAATATTTTCCTGCAGAGATTCTGAAAGCTTGGAAAAATATTCTTTATTAAAGTAGAAAGTAAGTAAATAAAATCTTAATGACTTTAATACTATAATCCTTTAAGAAAATTGGCCTCTGGTCTAGATAGTTTCTGCAGAACCTATCTGTCTAAAATCTATTTTTTATATCTCTAATTCCATGGAGAACTCTTTAAAAAAACTGCCAGAAGAAAATAAAACATACTTATTAGAAATTTATAATGAAATCTGGCACAGTAAAGAATTTCCCTCCAATCAATTATTATACCTGTTAGAAAAAGCTTTTAAAAATTTATTTGTAAATTTTGAAGGTTTATTTATTTACTGTGTCTATAGTCTCATCCACTTTATAAACAATGATAAAATGATGCTTGTACATCATGAATTGTTGCTTCAACATAGTTCTCTCAGAATGTTGGAGAAATGATGAAAGTTGATTTCACATATTTTTTATGTATAAAATATCAATGAAATAGAAAATTCTTACTTTTCTCTTTTTTTTTTTTCATAGTTTCTCTTTTAAAAAATAGTTTAATATTTCATTTTTAATTTTGATATTTAGCAAAGGGTTCAAATAATACGCTTTACAGATAATCATACTTATGTGATTTATCTCGTAGAGAAGGTAGGGGAGGAGTTTTCGGGCGATAAATTGCAGGATTATTATGTCCGTTATCAAGTTGGGATTTGGTTCAAAATAATTTTTGAATAGACTTTCATCAGGCTGGTTTTTGGAAAAAGGAAACGAATTGGGTGGTTTATAGAAGTGACATTTAATTTCATCTTACTATTTTAAAAGTGCAATGTCATTTTGGATTGAAGCTTTTTTTGTTGCTTTAAATAGGCTTTATGGTAGAAAATATAGGTATTTTCAGAGCTTATACTGTCAGTTCCAATTTGAATTAAGCAGCCATTTGAATAAGTTTCAAGGATTTTCTATTCATTAAATAATTTCATCATAACTGATAATTTCATATGAACTACCTTTTTTTCCCTTTAGATTGAGGTAAAATAAATTTTACCATCTTTGACAGTCATTTGTAGGCTTAAAATTTCAATTTGAAACTAATTTAATGAATTCCAATTCTTACATTTTCCTTTCAGATCCAAGACTTTGTCAGGATATAAATTAACATTTTCTTTGAAACCAGTTTTATAATGCCACTCATCAAGATATAGTTTGGGTTCTCTCCCTGGGATGGTTGGGTGTAGATAGAAATTGTTTGTTGATATTATTACTGACCAATCTGAAATAGAAATCAATACAATATAAAAAATGTGGTTTAAATATTATGGTATGATCTATTATAAGTTCTGCGGTGAAACAGACTCTAAAATCTATGAGATAAGAAAGTGAATTCATTTATATACCAATCAATCTGCTTGCGGACTATATTTAATCTATCAATATAACAGTAAGAGCAGAAAAGTGCCAAAATGTCAGAGTTTTGAGATAAAAGAACATGACAGATTCATATTGAACTCTGTAAATTTTCTTTTTTTATTCATAAACCTGAACACCATTGGCATAATAAATAATCAACATTTATTTTGACAAGATATGCTTAATTAACCTGTTAAATTTTCGTTTATTTCTGAGACTAAGAAATTTGCAGTTTGATCAGACTCCCTCATTGATAGTAATTCATCTGCATAAGTCAGCAGGTAAGGATAAACAGGAAGAAAGAAATATTTTGGATTATGGCGGCCTATGGATGCATGATAGTAAATTTCCAACCATCCTTGAAATGCACATATTGGATTATTGAATTGAATAATATACCTAAAATTAAACCAAAATTATTTTAAATAAAGTATAGTAATACATATAAATAAGTTAAGAAATATATATATATTTTAGGAAACACATAAAGAATAAACATAAAATTTATTGTAAAACATAAAATTTATTTATGTTTATTTACAATAACCATCTCTTTATAGGAAAATAAAGTATAACAGACATTTCTATAGAACATCATTCATCAGGTGATATTCATGATCTAGCGGAAATTAATAAATGTTTAATTTATTGTCACTTTTGTACAGCTTTTTGTCCAATCAGAGTTCATCCCTACAAACACTACTTTAGTATAAATTGACATTCATCTGGATCAGGGGTGGCAAGAAGGAAGTTACATGGCACAAGTTGCACCATATAAATATTTTAAGGGAGCATATTTTATGGGTTTTTAAATTTTTGAGGGGGGCAAATTTCAATGGGATTATGAATTTTAGGACTAAGGAAGAAGAGGATAAACATGGAACATACCTCAGTAAGTGTAATTGTATATGATCTACGATTTTTCTAATTCTACCTTAGCTTACTCTGTTTTAAGAAAAGGTGAGAAATAAAATATTTTGGAAGGAGGAGGGAGTAGGTTCTTGCCTTTGATCTTGGGGGAAATGGGCACCCCTCATCGGGGTATCCAAAATATTTGTAAACAATGGATATGACATTATAAATTAAAGTTTAGAAGTGAAATCTTACAAAGTAAATACACATTTCACTCATCAATTCTTGATTATCATAACCAATGTATTTTTTGATATACGTGCAATACTTACCCATCGCAATTATCTCGGAAAGTAATGTTAAGAATATTTGCAACATCCTCCAAGCAACTCTCTTTTGTTGAATTGATCTCGATGTATACCACAGATGTATTTATTTTGAAATTTTTAAGAAGCCCTTCATCTCTCATGACTACAACACATTTATGGTTGGAGAAATACTTTTCTGCTACTTGATTAGCCAAGATTCCCAACTGATCATTTATAGAAGTTTTATTTTTATATATAATAGAACCTGATACATATTGTTGGAGAAAAAAAATGGAAAGCCATGAAAGAAATAGATATGAATGCATGTTTGAGGAAACGTACCAAACTGACATGAGAAACGTTTTGAATGCTAACTAACTAGGTAAATTGATGGTTAAACAATAATATTGTATTCTGTTTTTTTTTTATTTATTTCTCTCTTTTTTTTTTTTTAAATGGAAACGGAGTCATTTCGGCGATTTCAAACGAGTTGTTACACTCGGGTAATTTCAATAGACTAATTTGTTTAGCGACGATTTTGTGATCGATATGGTTCCACGGAACTTCTTTTATTGACTAGTGTAATTTTCGTGTTTGTATATAATTACCATTCTTATGGAAGGAAACAAAAATTGATTTCTTCCTTTACCCGCTTATTCGATTTTATTCTTACCACTTTATTTCAAGTTTGTCCCATATATTCATTAGTGTGTGTATTCTCAATTTGGTTGAATAAATCAGAAAGATTCGTAGTAATATTATTAATAGATTCGTATTATTAAATACGAAAATATTATTAAAAGATTCGTAGTAATATTGAACATTAATTAATAAAGTATTAACGTAAAAACTCCCAAGACTTTTTAGAGAGTCCATCGCCCACCCCCCTCCTCCTCATCAGCCAGAATGGAAAGTCTGCACCAATTATTTAAACAATTTGAAGGTTGTTTCTATAACAAGAATAATAACACGTAGTTGCACATCATGTATAATTGCATATATTGGTTCAAGTGTCAAGTGGTATTTTTTTTTATACTCTTGGGTAGGAAATATTTAAATAATTATTTAAAGTACATTGAATTATAATAATGTCACTGATACAACTGTCATGTTAAATGCCACTTGGTACGGTTTACCGAGAACATCAAATAGCGATGTATTAAGATTCTATTAATCACACGTGTTTAATGTTTACATATTCAACATAATAATTAGTTCTTTTAAGGTGGGGCATCGGTGCAAAGAGGCAGCCAACATCCCCAGTAGTACAAAAATTACGTGTTGAGTATGTCTTGATTGCCATACCCTACGCAACCCGGAGGTCACGCATGACATCGAAGTATCAAACACCCTTTTTTGGTAACTCCCTGAAAATTTGAAGGGGTTATAAGACCATGATAAATTACATATACGCGAAAAGCGGCCAGCATTTATTCATTAGTCACTCAAATTATTTGGAGAAATTAGTATTCTTTTAAAACAGCTATATCAATCATTTGAAAAAATTAAAACGGTTTTATAAGAATCTTTGGATAGCCTTAAATAGAAAAAGGAAATCATATTAGAAAATAGTCTTTGAATTTCTACGAAAGCGATTTTAGCGCTACCTGTGTAAGATTATTTGAACTTCTTCCAGATGTACTAGCAGTGCCAATTGGTAAGTTTGATTAAAATAAAAATATTAAAAAATGTATTAAAGGTCTGATACATAAAATATATATTAAATTATGTATTATTGTTTATAAAGTAAGAAAAAATTAGTAAGCCATATCAATTTTAATATTTACTTCAATTTGTTTGTATGTGTAAAAATTGTTAATTCTTGTTCACTTTGTTCAAGTATTATCTGGACAATAGATTTGTTAGAAAAAGAAATTTATGAAGGATTATGAACTTCATTGAGTTGAAAATGAAAGGAATCAGCCTTGTGAGTTATTACTGCATTGTTATTACTTGATTAAGCTAAGCAAAATGAGGGTTATATTTTATTCCTATTGTGGGAAGTATTTTCTGTGCATGTTATTGATTTATATATATTGTATGTTTTTCTAGGGTTCATTAATATAAAAAATATTGATCAGAAGTGGAATATTGTATTATACATTTTAGTAACAACATTAAACATCACATATCATAAACCATACCTGTAATAATAATAATAATAATGTGTGAAAAAAATAAATGATAATAATAACAGCCGATAGACTACAAAATTATGTTTAAAGTGGCCTCTTTAACTCACAAATAATTAGATTGCTTATTTATCTCCTTTTTTTAAAATAATCTTTCATTGAAAAAAAAAAAGGAGACAATATCAATAATAAATTTAATTACATTTATTTCATTGTATATGAATATTATGAATTTAAAAAAAAAAGAAGAAGAAATAAAATTTAATTATTTCAAATATATTAATGCTAGAATATCATGAGGTTTAGAATATATTTTACCCTACAATTTTGTTAACTTTTACTTTGTGAATATTAATATTGCCCATACATAACAAATGCAATTCCATTCATAATAAAATTACTATCATTTTATTACTGATTAAGTGATTTTGTTATATATAAATATTGAAATTATAAAATTATTCAGACATTAGGTAATTAGGTTTACTCATTAGGGAGTTGAGGAACTACAATGGACTAAATTAAAAAATAAAGAAAAATCCAAAAAAATAAAAAAATAAAAATAAAGGATTTCTCTTTATTTTAGTCAGCTGTAGTTCCTCAACTCCCTAATGAGTATACCTACTTACCTAATGTCTGAATAATTTTATAATTTCAATATTTATATATAACAAAATCGCTTAATCAGTAATAATATGATAGTAATTTTATTATGAATGGAATTGCATTTGTTGTGTATAATATATATATATATATATATTTATATATTATATATATATATATATATATATATATATATATATCCAGATAGGTTAAACAAACTAATATTTGATAAAGTGATGATAAAAAAAAGAAGAAGTAGAAAAATGGGAAGCAAAGAGAAAGACTACCAAGATAGGGTAAATTTGGAAAAATAATGAAAAACATAAAGATTCTTGTAGCGGAGAAAAAGAAGCAAGAAGGTAAGAAATGGACAGATGAAGGAGGGAGATGGGAGACAAATGAGAAAATAGAAGAAGAAAAAAAAAAGAAAAAGAATAAAAAATAAAAATAACTACAATTTTAATCAATGATAACAGAATGCAAGAAGAAATAAAAACATGGATTGGAAACAGAAATAAATGTCATTTGTAGCTCCGACAGTAATTCCAATATAAAGAGATACCGATTCGAAATCTCAAAATAAGGGTATATAAAACGATACTTCATCCTGTAGTCGTGTATAGTAGTGAGGCGTGGACCCTAACCAACTGCAAGAGAAGTTGCTGAGTACATGGGCAGACTCAAAGAAGGAGTTTTATTGCCCGTATTGCTCAACCAAAGAGGGAATTCATTACAGCATAAAAACCAATGCAGAATTTAAGGACCTGATGAGGAACCTGACATAGTTTCTTGCATTAAAAAGGGGATAATAAGATGGCTGGGTCATGTTTATGGGATAGATCAAACAATTTTTTTGTGTTATTTGATATATGCTCCAAGTTATTCTCAACTAATAGACTTACCGTCTACAAAGCACTAATATAAAATTAATGACCAGATTGAATAGAGATATGGGACTCTACAAAAATCTTAAATATCCATAGAATTCAGGCCTCCCAGTCAAAAATATTGCCAAAAACAGAAAGTATCATTTTATGTGACGAAGGACACAATAAATATGAACTTGGGCATTGGAACAGTTTCAGATGTTCTAAACGCACAGCAGGAGTGCACAGGTTTTTTTTTGGCTCAAGTTGTGCCATCAAAATTTTTGAGGGGAGTATATTATGATAGGTTTTTTAATTTTTGAGGGAGGCAAATTTTGGTGGGGTTATGAGTTTTCGGACTAAGCGATGACAAAAGGAAAACATGGAACAAACTGCTTCATGTGTAATTGTATATGATCTACGATTTTCCTAATTTTGCTCGGATTTTAAAAAACGGTGAGAAATAAAATATCTTAGGAGGAAGGAGCTAGATTCTTGCCCCATCTACCTAGGAGGGGATGGGCACCCCAGCCGCAGAGTACTACAAAAACCACCAAAGACTCACTACAATAACTCTTCTTCACCTACCCTTAGATCCACAACGAACTGATATGTGGATAGGTATTGGAGGTGATTACCAAGACACTTACAGACTTGAAGTCCTTAACTTCATGTGTTTAAGAACAAATTTGCTGATTGTAAAAATACTTGACAGATGACAAATAACGTCCATATTAAAATAAGAATAAAATATAAATTTCATAAAAATAATGTTTTATTGGCTAAAGCAATTAGATCATCAAGACTTATTTTAAATATGTTTAGTTAAATTTTGCTCCGTAGTATTCTGTAAGCATTTTTTTCTTGTTTTCCACTCTATTAGTTGCGTCATATTTCTAATTTTAAAGAGAAAGAACCCCTGCATGTGCTGAGTTTGCTCTCCTATTTCTATTCCTGCAGTTAATTGAACGGTATACGTCACTAGTTTATTGACATTGACCTTCTCATCTGGTAAATTTCAATCCCATTTGTATTTCCCAGACGCGCAATTAAATCTATAGGTATTTAAAAATATTATATTTCAGATTTTTTATTCATATGGCGTTTCAAGAAGTATTTTATTTTATTTTTAGGCACGTGGAATTGCCTATTTGATGAAAATTTGTGGGTTTATTCAGTATCGAACTGAGGAAATACGCGCCCAGGCGAGCCTCCTGTTAGGACTTTCAAAAAAATTATAACGTGTTTAAAATACCTAAATTTTAGTCCATTAATAAAGCAAATGAATATGAGAAATAGTGAAGGAAATACAATTCAAATATATAGCAGCTTAAAAAACTGATTGTTTTTGGGTATGGAGGGGATTAGAAGGGTTGCTCATGACGTAATTGTCCGGGGGTGCCAAATTTCTAAGGCTGGCAGGGGGTATGGTCACAAATTTTATTGAATAATATGTGAATACGATGAAGTACACATACACGTGATAGAGATAAAAAAATAAAATAAATAACAGATAAAATCAAGAAATAAGCTTTTTTAGGTCTTCTATACTTAGTGGAATATATAAAGCTAGAAAATTAAACCTCCAAGATTTTTAGGGTAAGAATGAATTCGGAGTTGAAATAATCCGGTTTATTATGAGCCGGTTCAGTATGAACTAATTGGTCCTTTTGGATATATATTTTTTTTTATGAATATGAAATAAACTATGAACAGTGTTAGGATAGACAATAGACAAACATTTGGAGGATTTAAATGGAAATGCACTTTTATACTTGCAACATGTAGATTTATCAGGAAGACATCCAAGAGAGGAAGACAGCCTGGCGGTCCTTTTTTTATACAAGCCATTAGATTTGGCTGAAAGTTTGGTAAACGTCATTGATTACTTGGGTCAAAATGTCGTTGGTTCAACAATAGTATAATCCTCCATCAATTTTCATCAAAGCATGAGGGAGGATGTGTGGGAACTCAGGAAATAAATTAAAAATCATAAAAGATGAATTCCAAAGGAATTGAAATGTAAAAAAAAATGTTTGCCAGTATATTTCCTTTTAGTCAAGGGAACACAAACATTTTCTTATGGACCCCTAAATGCATATAATTAGAAAAAAGTTTTGTTAATCTCAAGTATACATTTAGATGCTGTAATAAATTCAGAAACTATTAAGACAAAAAAAAAAAAAAAAATAGAAAACTACAAAGAGCAACAAGAAGATAACCAATGATGGCATTTGTTTCCCATGCTTAATGTAGGGACTACGAAATTAAAAAGTACATGAATAGCCTAGTTATTTGTTTGGGAAATGGAAACAATGTGTTTATTCGGTGACACTTTTTCCGTGGTCTGAAAAAAAGCCTACAAAAGATCAATTAATAATGTGATAATCTGTGCTTGCATTGGTCCTTTGCAAGAAGCCTTCTTGACTTTGTCTAAAAGCTACAGACTGAGGAACAAAGCAGCCGAAAGCTCCAAAATAAAAAGAAAATGTTGAGGAAAGAAAACTACTATATCAAAAGAAACCAATGTTTCTTCTGGTAAGTACTTAATAGTTGTCCGTTTCTGACAAATGAAAAAGTTGACGTTTCAAATTGGGACATTATCTTGCAAGTTACTTGAAACTTAATATACGTAGTCTTTAAAATTGATTAATGTTACTGAGATTTGCCTCTTTGGTCAAAGATCCAATTTTTTATTTATTAATGTTAAATTTTGTATTCTGATTTTCTATAGACGATATAATATTTCCTTTTCAGTACATATTTTAATTAGAGAATTCTTGCTTGTGTGAAATATATCTGTAAAGAAGGACTATTGAAGGCAGTGCAGTGTTGCCTTTCTGAAACGTCAACACAATTGTGGTGGCGAGATTTCGTGTTTGTACTCTAGGTTATACCCAGCCTCGTCTGTCACTTTACGTTCTTCGTTCTAGTCGACAGGATCGGAGAAAGCGATGGCTCCAAAACAACGGATGCGATATGCCAATGAAAAAGCTAGTAAATTCGTCACCATGAGGGGAAATGTCCCTAAATCGACGGTATGTGTGTTTCTTAAATAATATATTTTTTGTAACTTTCTTCCATATGTCAATTTTCTTTTGCACGTTTAAAGTCATCATTAAGTTAATCAATGTCTAATTTGTTTTTGTAACTTATGAATCCAAGTTGGGTCTACATATATGCCCACTTTGGTACATGTTTATGGCAGATAAGCTAATGTTTATACCAATGTATTTTTTATCTTATATGTTTTTGCTTTGTCTGGTTATGTATATTCTTATTTGATTGTTTTGTGTCATTTAGAAAGCACTAGAAGAAAAGTACCCTGTAGGCCCTTGGCTTCTGGCTCTTTTTGTTTTCGTTGTCTGCGGTTCAGGTATGTAACATTTATATTTAATTTAAATTTAATTGTAAGGTTCTTCATTGATTTGGACCTTTGAACCAAACAATATTGTCTTAATACCACTTATATGTGGACATCTGGAGCACTGTTATTGCCAATTAGTTTTATTTAAAGTTTCCATTGACTCAATACTGTTTTTCTTAAGAAGATTAAATAACATAGCATACATTTTTCTTTACCCTTTCATATAAATATTTATTGTGAATCATATTGTCAATAACCAAAATTGAAAATATTTTAAAATATAATTTCAAATTTTTTGATTAGCATTTTTAATTTATTTTAGAAAAATTGTGTTTAAATCAAAATAAGTAGTCACATATATTGAGTCATAAAGAATTCTCAATGCTTAGCCTGTTCCTTTTGATTTTAATTTTGAACTTAAAGCTTGAAGTTCTGTTCATTATTATGACAACTTTTCATCATCAAAACTTATTTTGTCTATGTTTTGAAACCAGTTTTGTTGCTAATGGCATATATATATATGTATGTGTGTTAAATCTCCTATTTTTCCTGATCCGACATAAATCTGTTATCTTTAGTGTTCATCTCATCAGTTTACAATTAACAATTAATAAGGTTTTCATTAGTAAACAGTATCTATAAACTTTATGTAACAAGTACTTAATTTACAAATTGATACCTGTTAGCAACAACAGGGTCAGTGGAACAGGATAGTGATAGGATTCCTGTTGATTCAAGAGGAAAAGGAATTTGTTTCAATTTTTATTAATATTAAGTGTTTGTTCTGTGTTTATTACACATTTAAAAAAAAAATATATATATATATATATATTTCTTTTTTTTTTTTTGAGTCTTAAAAATAACTTGAATGATATGTTTCAATTTGTAATTTGTGGTAAATAACTATTTAATAGAAAAAAATGTATTATAAGACACTATGTTCTTTATTAATAAATCATCTTAAAAAAATAATATTTTTTTTTGGATGGAATGTGTGTAATTTATAAGTTAATTTTACTTTTAATAACGTGCTTTTGTTTGGTTGATATTGATTTTATAGGCTGTTAATCAATTAAACTTTCTAATTTTTGGTTTGTTATTTGTGATATCTTTCAGAAGTTAGACTATCTTTTATCTTTATTTATCTTATTTGTAGTATTATAAATAGGATTTATCATATTTTTCCAATGAGATATTAAGGTTTCATGAGCTTAGCAAGGATTTATTAATGCTACTTTAAATATTTATTCATATACTGCTTAATTAAGTATATTCATGAGTACTTCCTGAATTTTTTGTTTTATTTCTAAATGACTGATTTTTATATGAGAATAGACCTGATGTAATTACCAAAAGTTATAAAACCTTTTGAGGGGAAAAAACTTATATTGTGTTAAGTATTTCACTTAGTATAATATTTAATATTTCTTTAGTTTACTGGAAGAAGTCACTAAGTAATGTTTCATATAATTACATTTCTATGAACTTTGATGAATTTTCCATCAATGAAATTAAAACATTGTGGACTTCGTTTATTTTTGATTTCATGCACTTCCTGTCTGTTTTATGGAATCGATAGGTCAAAACTTATTAAAATCTTAAAAAATTAGCTCTATCCAAAATGTACTTGGTGACTTTTCCCAACAAACTGACGACTTATACTGTAATATATATTTTTATTTTATTTATGAAGTAAATATGGTTTAATTACTGTTTCAGCTGTATTCCAAATTATTCAGAGTATAAGGATGGCATGAGAAGTCACAAGAAAAAGGATAATGGCAGTCCAAATATAATAAATAATAGCACAACTTCCATCAGTGATAATCCCTGGATTGCATCCTGGCATTAAATTATATCCTACTTTGTTTAAATGAATTTTTAATTTTTGTTCCTCTTATTAAAAAATTTCATTGCATTTATTATATTTAATGTAAAAGACATATAACATCACTCTTCTTTATTAGATAGCTCAACTCTTAAAGAATGTAAATAATGTTGTTTAAGATAGAAGTAATATTGTATATTGCTTGCATTCCATTAAAGGAGAACTCGAATTGAAGAAGAAAGCTTCTGAATAAAGACTTTTTACTAATATTGTTGTAATGATTATATTTATTGATTGTGATTATTAAAATGATGGTTCATTTTAATTAAATAACCTATCTTTATCCATTCAAGGTTATCAAAACTCTAAACAAAGTCAAGATAAACCAATCCAGCTGAATCAACATATTTCTTGTTTTGCAGTTGTTCACGCTTGTTTACTATCTGCAACTCTTTTATTTATGGATGTTACGCTTTTAAAAATGGTTAACCTACTAAATATTATTCTTGATTTTCTTTTTCTTTTGTAATTTACTTAGAAAGTGTAATTTTTGCTTTAAAAAAAATATTAACTTAACGATTGATATAAAAACAGGATGTTGTTGGAATCATCCAATAGTATTTGATTAAATAATAGTCCTTTCACTAAGATTGGTGATAAAATAATCTATTGATAAAAAGATTAAAACATGTTAGACTGATATTTTATTTTTTTTTATGTTGAAAGTTAAAATATGCTATAAAAATTCTGTAAATATCTTTAAAATATTCAATTACATTTCCTGTAAAAATAATTCATTAAAAAATCATGATGTAAAATTAGCTGTTTTGAATGTAAGATTGAATAAAAGTAAAACAATACTGATTTTTCATTTAAAATTATTATAATAATCTAAAATCTTAGTTTTTTTTACAAACATGATTAAAACCTTTTTTTAATTGATACAAATAAAGCAGAACAAAGTTATATATAAATCACAAAATTTGTTAAAAGATAAAAAAGAAAAATCTTATGTCTCTCTATTATATTCATTAAATTTAATTTTCTCATATCCAGTTTGATGGATGATTCTATTGAATTATACCAGCTAAAAAATTTTCTTTTAATTGTAATGTTCTAAAATTTATTAAGTACTAGAATGGATATGTGCTTTAATAAAGAAAAAGCAAACAAAATTAGAAAGCTGGCCTTGTAAATAGTGGAACTTCAGCTATACCCTAATATTAAAAGTTTTATTAACAGTACCAAGAGGAATATTTGTTACTGCTATGGTCACAAAAACTATCTCTCCTAAATAAAGATTTCTTAGAAGAATCACCCTCCAAGAATGTAATTCTGAAAAAACAAAATTAATCTGTTAATTCTCAACTGAAAAATGTATTTTATGAAATAAAGGACATTTAAAACAATCACCTCAAGGTTTTTTGTGATAATCACTTTGTTAAGCATTCTAAATCCAGGGTATTTATCTAAGAATTTTATCCAGTTCTAAAGAATTCTTCTATTATCTATGCATTAGGTTGAAAATGTGTCAACTCAGAAGTTTAGTTATCAACACTACCCATCTTAAAATAAATAATACAGTACTTAAGTAATGAATTGTTGATGTATGGAAGAAATAGTTAGTAAGACATGTCTTACTGTCCATGTGGAGGTAACATCAAAGCAAATCGATACCTCAGAATGTTTATTGAAACATAAAATATCTATCTACAAACAGGTTGGTAACAAAATCGATTGTCCATAAGGGCCCTTAAGACTTGCTATGATTTCTTTTAGTGTTGCATTGTTAGCCGTCTCCATTTGATTTTTTTATTGGTCCTCATTTTCTAAATGCTATTTAACCACCAATTTTTGCAAATATTTACCCACAGAACCTTTAGCCACTTAACAAAATAAACTCATAGTTCAAATAACATTTCTATTCAAACTTCTTAAATAAGCTTTATTCACACAAGAAATTAAAATGAATTTCTTTGATAATATTGATGAAAACAACTATTTTACTAACCCGTCAATTATAAGTACAGGGTATATTAAAAATACATTGAAATATATATTTTTTTAAAAAATGGGTAATTTAGAACCAAAAAGTGTTAAGTTAATTAATTAGCGTAATAAAATTGTTTATCTTGAATAAAACAATTTTACCGCTATCAACAAAAATACAAACAGAAATTATACCTTTGAGTTACATAATTTTTAATTTAACATTAATCCACCAAATCAAAACCAATTTTACTTTGCATAAATATACCGTAAAGAATATTCTTGTACTAATATTTATAGTTGTACATAAATTAACTGATTGTTCTGAGAGCAAAGTTCAGCAAGAATTATCATCGGTATTAGTGATTACCTTTAAGTACATAAGGTGATTAGTTTCAAAACTGTCTCAGTAGTTAAAAATGAGTTCAGGTTCATAGAATTCAGTAAAACTGCCTCTAACTAATGACAAAAAAATTATGTACCACTACAACTCATGAAGGGTCTTAGTAGTTCAGTACTGTTTCTTGGTCAACAGCTACGTTTTCCTCCTTAATTAATTAAAGGTATCCACTTTGAGGCTGGGTGTACTCAGGAATATCTGATCCCAGTTGATCCATGGACAACGAAACAGAATAAATTTGTCATCTGCCGGATTTAAGTCAGTGCCTACCACTGAGTATCCCCCTCCACCATAACTTAAGACATACTTTTGAATGAAATAGAAGTTTCTACCTTGTCAGAAAATTTTCCTGTAAAACTTAAGATTGAGTTAAAAAGTAAATTTTTCACAAATTGTCAATTCAACTAAAAGATAAAAACAAGAGATTTCCAGTACAGTACACCCTTTTCTATGAAGCAGCAGTGGTAATTTATAATTACTAAAATATTTCTGAATACAACAGCTTTTTCTCCTATATGTACTCTATATCGCTGGTGGATTTAAGAGTGGAGCAGGGCTTTCGGACTGTAGACTCAAAATGGAAATTTTTTTTTTCAATTGTGGTAGTTTCTTCAGTTACAGGATAACATTTAAAAAAATGAAATTTAGTTGATTACTACATTTGCTTTCAGAAAGTTCTTTCACAACTGAAATCATTTATTGAGGATTTTTTTTTCATCACAAGCCTTGGCACCCAAGAAAAAAAGTTTGTGGAGAACCCTGATCTAGGCTAAATAATGATTGACACAATGATAAATTTTTCATTTAAATTAAGTTATAATGCATACATAGCTACTAAACATAACCATATCTAAGGGAAAAAAAATGTCTGCACAATTAAATTTCTGTATAATTAGGTTTTTTCTTCCAAAACATTTGTTATATATATATAAATGCTTTTGGGTTGGAGCCCACCCACAAGATGAAATCCCGAATCCATAACTGCTCTACTCCATTCCCTGTTTTCTATTATTGACTGGAATAAAAGACTTATTTACTAACATCAGATTTATGAAGTTCAAGATTTTTAATTAAATTTTTATCTCATGTTTTTTTCCACTTAAGGAGAATTACCAAATTGTATCAATATTGTCAACAACTCTGTATATTTATAACTACATTTTCCTCCTGACAAGTATTTTGATATACGTAGCATATTAGATAAGTATATAACCAATATGTAGTTCAGAAAATAAATTCATCCTGTTAAGATTTACCCACCTGGTAAGGCTTGACCAAAATTCATTTAGACTTATAAAGAAACCAACTGTAAACAAACAAATAAAAAAAAGTATTATGAAATTAAGAATCGAGACGGGAAAAATAAAATTGACATGTTTAATTATCTTGAATCAATTCTTGATTTAAATGACATTATAAATACCAATCTTGTATTCTATGAATTGATCTCCTATTGACTAAACTATAGCTACTATTAATGAAGAAGTCTCAGAAGGGTGTCAAAATTGGCATTGCATCTTAGTTAAGAAATTAACATAACACTCAGCCAACAAACCTTTTCCATGAGAAACCATCATTTAAGTTGTTCTGCATTCTGCTTTTGAGAGATATTTCATATGCCATTTGTAAGTAGTATTCAATTTAAAAATATTTGTTCATTTTGTTTCTTTTCTTTTTAATATTAGATCAATGTCGAAATGGATTTAGTTGTTTAAAATACATTAATTTCTATGATGATCTTCTCTTTTAACTTCAGGGAATCCAATCAATAGATGTGCAAAATGTAACTTTATTAAAAATTTAAAATCACACACCTTTTTGTATAAGACCAAAAGAAAAATAAATTAGAAAAAGAATAAGTCTGTTACATAACAATTTAATAATGTCTGATATAGTACACGAATGAACATTAAAGTGGATAAAAACAGTGAATTAGTAAAAATATTACAATTTTTATATTAATTAAAAAAAGATAATGCTGTTATTCAAATTTACTACCCTATATTTCTTGCAAAAAAGTAACACATACAATACTTGAGCATAAATTTACTTATGATAAACCTAATCTACATACATACATAGGTTTTGCTATTAAACATAAAAATTAAAGTTTTTATTACTTATACCAAATGTATAGCAGAATTATTAAACTGCTTGAGTAATGCAGCAGAAAACTGACAATTACATTTTAAATATCAATAAAGAATTATAAAAATAAAGAAAAAGTAAGTAAACATATGTTTAATGAATTACTTAATTACCTCTTAAAACAACTGTTATAAGAAACTTCCCTTTTAAAAGGAAAAAAAAAATATGGCAAAGAAAACAAAAACTAAATAGGGAGACAAATTTTTATTCTTATCTAGGTTTCTGTATTATCAAAAGCCATAATTAAAGGGGCAAAAAGACTATATTTATTCAATATGTTACTGAAGATAATACACATAGCAATGGTGATGACAGTAAAATGACTTGTTTCTAAGAAAGATGGCTTAATTACAATTTAGTATCTCCTTGAAAAGCCTCCTCCAGCCATACCTGCTGTGAACAGAAATTATTAACAATAAAATCAACTGACTTCCTTTAATCATAAAATAATTACAAATAAACAACAATTTTATTACCTCTACCTCTACTGCTAAAACCATTTCCTCCAAATCTATCACCACCACCTGGTGTGGAGTCCATGAAAAGTTCGATGTACCTATGCTGCATATGGCTCTTATCCTAAATAAAAAAACATAACAAGGTCATAATAAGAACATTCAAAATAATAATTCCTACCACCAAGACAGTAAGAGAACCATACCTTAGTCATGGCTTTGACGGCATCATCATGGCAGCTAAATTCCACATCAGCTTCTCCCGATGGACGGCCTGAATTGTCATAAAGGATCCTAATGCTAACAGGAATGATAGGTCTGAAAAACTGATGATAGAATAAAATTAATTTCATAGCAGAACATTAGTCAAAAATAGCACTCTAGAAAGCAATTGTTTTTAGAGGAGGCTAGAGAGAAACATATTTATGGTTTACCTCCGCAATGTCTGCCTGGGTGGCTCTGAAAGGTAGACCCCTCATGTGAACACAGTGAGTCGGTGGCTGCCAGCCGTTGCCTCCACTGCCGAAGCCCCTGTCTGGGGGTCCCAAGCTTGGCAGCAATGGTTTGATGCCTCCCCTAGGTCCCAATCCAGGTCCACTGCTGTCCCAGGGTCCGCCACCTGGACCTCCTTCCCATGGGCCGTCGTCGTAGTCACTGAAACCACCTCCTGCACAAACAAATCCCATTAATATAACACTTGCATAATAACCATGCATAGTAAAAATACATATAACATAAATTTATGAAGACCAAACTACAGATAATTTTATTATAGCCTATTAAAATAAATGAACTACCTAGGAATTCTAGGATTAATCAATAATCAGACAGCGTGGTTTATGCCTGAGAATGGGCTAAAGTAAAAACTGAAAACTTCATCACATAATTTTGAAAGAAAATCTTTACAAAATATAAGTAGCACAATTTTAATAAATATCATTATATAAATAGGCAAACACAAATCAGTTCAGCCCCTTTAACTCCTCTATTATTCAACCGACTTTCTTCATTCTTTTTTTGTTTAATAGATATTGACGAGCTTTAGTGTTATCAATAAATAAAAAATATTAAATAGTATGTCAATAAAAATATAAATGGTAGTTTGTTCAAAACGGCTTATCTCCGAAAGTTCTTCACTGATTTTTTTTTTAAAAACACAACGTTGCAATAATATTTAGAAGTTTTTTTGTATACGTTTCATTATCATCGGGCCTTTCCTTTCGAAATGGCGGCCGAAAAATGTGATTCGCTTTAGACTGTAGAGCCAATACGGCTTCAACAATTTCAATGAAACTGGGCTAAAGTCTTCCCCTTGAAACCTTTATAATTTATGTGTATAACATACTTTCCTAAAAACAAGCTGCATACATTTTTATGATGAATTCAGTATTTTATTTGCGAATAACTCAAAAAGCACACGTTTTATTAATAATACCAATATTTATTTGAAACCTTTCTGGATTCCCTACAAAAAAAAAAATCATCGAAATCGGACTATTTGTTGCAGAGATATATCATTTTAAACATTTAGTACGTTTTCTTTCCCTTCCAAGTTCGATTTCTTTTATTTTGTTTTTTGATAAATCAAAAACTTTTCATTTACTGAGGTAATTGGGTCTATAATTACTTAGTACTTTCAAAGAACAACGTTCCTATTAATAGCTGCATTAGCTATGAGCATAATCAAATCGCAGGATAAAAGTTTTGGAAAAATGTGTATATTATTGTGACGTCCAGTAATTTCGCATGGACAATTATATGTGGCAGCAATTAGAGCACGTTCATTTATAATATAAATTGGGCCTATGCACTAAACAATAACAGAAAATTTAAATACAACATTATTTACATAGATGTTCTGAATAAAAATGGATTCAAAGTTAATTTAAATTTATTTTTTACTTGCTTAATCATAACATTAATTTATTGTGATAATAACACACATAAATTGAAATGAAAATTAAATATTTTGAATGAGTGTATTTTGTATTACTTATAAATAATTTTAAATGACTTGAGCTCAATTTTTAATTCAAATTGAAATTTTGTTTGTATTAATAAATGAGGATTTTCGAATCGTGATTTACTCTTTATTTAATTACATCTTTTTTTAAAATTTTTAATGGCTATGGTCGAATTTCGACCACTGGGCGAACACTAGTACTTTTAATTCAAAGAAAAAAGTCAACTATGGCATGATGGTTTTCAAAAGAATCTCTCACACTTTTCATCTTGATATGAAGCACATCTTTAGTTATATGGCTTATTTCATTTTGAATATTTAAGAATTCATCTTTAATTAATAACATCACATAAAAGAAAATATAAAGCTAGAAAAAAACTTCTATGCATTAACTATTAAATGTAAATTATCCAATAATAAAAATCTTTTTAATTATTCATTTAACATGAAATTCCTTATATTTTAAGATAATTCTCAGAATCTTGTCAAATCAATATAATAATCATAAAAAAATTTGGAAAACCATATACAGCAGTTTGGCACAAGATCATATTATAAAAACAAAAGTAGCCCTAATCGCAAACCAATCACTATTTAACGAATAATACAACTGTTAATTTAATTACATAAGTGTTTAACTCCTGTAAGTGTCCTACTCTCCTAATACGAAATAAAGTTTTAGACAAAAAATGATAGTTTGCATATTCATCATAGGAGAACAGCACTATTGAGAGTGGAGAATTAGGCTGGAAAAGTTGAGCACTAGTAAACTCCTGCTCTCCTAATACTATAAAGAGATTTTCAATCTGGTATCTTGGTTACGGTCCGTCCTGCTTTATATATGTAGAATAAAATATTGGTCACTAACAACTTTTTTACATAAGAGATTTTTATTGATTTAGTTCAGACCATGACTGGCTCAAGAGATGACCACCCGATGTATACTTACCAATTAGGGGTCATAGTCTAAGGGAATAGATCCTTTTCATCATAAAAAAAAATCTAAAAGGATCCTTACAAGGTTTGTTTACCCCTTGTTACTGAAGTCCAACAGTCACAACCTAATTTGAGTAAATTTGATTAGTCCCAATTAATTCTTCCATGCGATCAATTAAATTATTTTATGTTATAATAAACACTGTAATATTTGTGTTTTTTATTTTTTTATTAATACAAACAAATTAAACTTTTTTTGAAATTCTATCTACAGTGATTGATGTGATCTTGTGCCCACCAGCTGCCATATAGTCTACTGTCAACCATTTTTGACATGAGTTGTACATAAAAATAACATACCTATCGAGTTAGCTAATAAATATCATATGTTAAATGCTAATCAATTTATCTTTAATTAATAAAGATATGGTAATTAATATAAGATCTTGCAAAAGAGATCATTAACACAGAAAACGAGATTTGATCTTGAGGAAAGAAATTTTGATTTATATGAAATGAAAAAATAATTTTATTCTGGGACTACTGTCCCCTAAGAATAATAACATAGTTACAAATTTATGTATCTTAGTCTGACATAATAAAAATACCAACTAATTTGTTGTTAATTGTTATTTCAATTGTGCAATGGATTGAAATTAAACATAGATGCAATAATAGTATAGATGCAAGTAATTTTACATGTTAGAGGAAGTTTGAATGTGGAGTAGGTGTTGGAACAGGAGTTGTTTGAAGGAATTTGTGGATGAGGATTGACGCGTGGGGATAGGAAGTGAGTTAAATAAGGAAGCAGCACGAATGACGAAGTTTTATGGGAGGGAATATATAAGTCTATAGGTTGAGACCTTGTATTGAAAGAGTGCATAGAGGAGCGCAGAGTAAGGAGTTCCAGGATGTAGGGAGGGTTTTTAGTTCTGAAGACTTGGAAAAGGAAAACGCCAAGGAGGAATTGTCGTCGGGAAGTAGGATAAAGCTACTTCAACTCGGTGCACCATAGTGAAACATGTGAACATCTGGGGATCCCAAAAATGAATCTTATGAAACAATTCATGAGTCTTTTTAGTCTCATTTCCAGCCTGGCAGATAGATTACATGGTGTCACAGGTAAAAATCAAATTACAATACAATATCATGCCGTGAATAGAAACAATTATTTTTCCGTTATCGCCCTTAAAAACACAAAGAATGCTATTTAAGCAAAAATAATCTACAATATAATTATCTTGCAAACTTACTGCTTTCCCATTGCCCTCCTCTTCGTGAGTCTTCCCATGGGCCGCCTCTCCTTGAACGTGAGTCTTCCCAAGGCCTAACCCTTGGCTGATCTTCCCATGGATCATCATCGAAGTCGCTGAAACTGCCTCCCTGCCTGCCAATACCTGCGAGTATATTCAAACATTAATTGACAGCTGCTTTATTAAAAACATTTAAAATGATACAAACACTCTGTGATAAATGTATAATGACACCACCACGAACGGTTCAAGTATAAAAAGTTCCACATAAACTACATATCATGAAGTTAACAACATTTATTTAGGAGTCCTGTATTTATCTTCATCATGGAGCATTTTTGTTTTCAGGAGCTATATTTTATTTTTTGCCATATGTAATTACTGTTTAATGGTTTAATATTTTTCATACAAAGGGATATAAAATAAAATCAATATAACAGAGAAGATATTCTAAAGTAATCTTCTTAATTACTTAAATTGTAAGTTTTTAAATTTAATTTTAACATTATTAATTCTTCCTCAAAAAGACAGGAAGATATCCTGAGGACATCGCAACAATATACAAATCCACTGGGCTATGAAGGAACCTATCCTGATAGTAAAGAAATTCAAATATCACTTGCTTACTAACGATATAGGACACTAAGTAGAATCAAATCAACAAACAGAAATCTTTATATTGGTTTAGGTAAGAAATGCCATTTTAACAGTCACAAGGATACTAGAGTACCTCTCTTGTGAATATATCTCTTTATTAGTTATCTATCATATTATTAAGGTAATCTATTACCCTAAAAGATACATAATAATACTAAAGAAGACACATCACCTCTAAAACTTCTCTGGCTGCTACGGCCACCTCCGCCCATTTGGCTATAGCGATTCATTCCTCCGAATCTGTCGCCTCTGTCATAAGGAGCGTGTCTCTGATTCATAGAGAAACCACTTCGCATCTTGGGTCCAGCTGCCAGCTTAGCTTCAGCTATGCTGCTTCGGAAAATCTCGATGTACCTGAATCCACATATAAACTTGTAAATTAAAACTGATCAAAAATTGCAAAAACCATAAGTTATTTAAAACTAAAAAATCAATTTCAATTTTTGAATGAATAAAAATGCCTTTGATTTTATGCCCATCACTTAAAAAATGATTTTACTATAAATTTTGATGCAAAATTTATACATGAAAAAAACTTGTAATAAGATTAACATACAGATTTTGATTTAATGTAATCGAGTTTTGTTATAAACAAAATCTAAATTTGATAAGTATATGAGCATTAAACAAGTTTGTTTCATAAGTGCTGATAGTGTCAGAAATTAAAATTTGAAGTCAGCTGACAGTTGAGTTCAGCAACCTTTAATTTACGTAATAAATAAGAGTTAACAGAAATTTCAGTATTACATTGAAACACTATCAGTGAAAATGAACGGAAACAAAAAAGAAATTAAAAAACATTTCTGTTTACCAATCAAAGGGTATTTTATGTAATAAATAATCTAACACCTAAAATGAAATAATATTTCATCTGTTATTGTGGGTAGTATAAAGTTTGAAATACATAATTCGAAAACTGAGATTTATTAAGTAAATTTTAAAAGGCTGACACCATCATCAAATTTATTCTTTGACCCTCCAGCACAAGCAACTAATTTGAGATCCATCCACATATTATTCCTGTTTAATTAATTTAATCATTTAGATTTTTAGGCTAAAATTCAGCATTGTTCCATTTTACAAACAAGGTATCAGCGGAAATAAATTAAACTCAATTATTTAGACCAATTAATTTTAAATGCAGAAGTGATCTCCAGGATTACATTTTAAATGATGAATTTTTTATATCCCTGAAGGAATATTAATGTTTCTATAACCATAAAAACATAACTGGTATTATTAAACTGCTTACAAAACATTGCAATGAACCAATTTCATGTTTATGATAGTATTGAGTCTGATTGTTTATTTAATATCATTGAGGGTAATTTTATCAATTTAGTAAAAGCTTCAAACCCATCCCTTTAAGGGCCATTGGTGGGGAATATATTTAGTTTTTTTTTTCAACAACTAGAAGAAATATATAAAGAAAACATAAAGAAGAAACTAAACAACATGTAATTTTATTGGGCACTTGAAAGTAGTGATTGGAGTAGCAAAAGAATGCAAAATGAAAGCGTATAGTTAATGATTAAGGCAAATTCATATTTGTAGGCTGTTTAATCTAACTGTTATTTCTGTTCAAACCAAGGATTAACAAAAATGCACATTCAAATAAAAAAAATGAACAAGAACTACATTATATTTAATGCTTTCCGCTTTCCTATTCCGTAAATAACTAAAAACAAAGGATAAAATTAATGTAAATAGGTCTTAAAAATATGAGGAAAAAAAAGAGAAGCTTAATAGTTTCTTGGTCTCATCATCATTTTGTATGCTTGTGTTACGTCACTCATGGGTATGTACTGGAGGGTAACAATCTTATATTGCAATTTCTAAAAACAGGCATTGATTAAAAATAATATAAAAAAAAAAAAAACATGCCATATAAGATAATAAATAAATAAATTTAATTTTAACAAATTATTTAAATACATATATATATATTTGCTAAATAGTATAAAATTTAAATAAAACCATATATTTTATAGAATTAGTAATTAACTTTTTTTTTTGGAAACTCATATGGATGAGTTTAAATAATGAAGATCAAAGTGACAGGTCTTCAAAGATTAAAGTTTATAATCGAAACATATGCCAATTTAATGTTATGTTCCCTTTAAACGGAGCTTTTAAAATCTGAGTAATTGCAATAATTATATAAGACAGCAGAACTTGAATTTAAATCAATAAAAAATCAGGATTAAAAATAATGCCTCATCAAAAGAAAAGGCCACTAAAATTTGAAAATTTAAAATAAAAGTTGATGAAATGTAGTTAATAAGAGGTTTATTTTATTTTTTTGAATCATTTAGCCTTCTCATAACCTAAAGCGTTAGTCTTGATATTTTTAACTACTTCCACCTAAACAAATTTATTAATATACAATAACATATAGCTACAATTAAGACACAAATAATAAAACTAACTCTCCAAAATAATGCAAAAATTCATGATTTTTTTTTTTTCCTTAATACATTCCGCCACTTCTACCATCTTAATTTTTTTTTTTGAAGTAACAATATCTTTAATCGATTTCTAAAACATTTATGTTTAAATAAATAAAAATCATAATGAGTAGTGACTCAGTAGTACATAAATATATATAGTGTCTGCCTAACAGCGGACCCATCCCCATTATACAAATGTTCATTTAATGGTACTACTCATTGCATAAATTGTATTATTTTTCATCAACACAAAATAAACGGAACGAAACAACAGTATTTGTTTGTAAAAAGTATACTACATCGAGTAAGTCTGCTTTTATTGTAAATACATAAACTATAATGTATGTTCCACTTAGTGGTTTCATCTGTATTCAAGCCAAACTTGCTTAACTATTAGTACAAGAATAGAAAAAAATCTAAAACTCGGATGTCCATGTTTTTATAATGTAATTTAATAAAATTTCTTAATGAAATTAGAGAGATTAATAATTTAAATAAGTCTTGCAAATTAATAAAATGGTTTTAAGAGAGTAACAATGGGAAATATAATAAAAAAACTGAGGGTTGAGCATGATTTCGGCTTAATCACCTCCCACCACAACCATTGGCCTTGTAGTGATACAGGTTAATATAATCAATGATGGTAGAATTATTAATTATTTTGAAAAATGTCTACAAAAGTAACTAAATTATTATTTATATTTTAATACTATAAATAAAAGACTCAGAAATTGTAAGAAAAGTATTTTAAATAAGATCATATGAAACGTAAAGGTTTTTCTCTTGTTACAGAAACTGAGATCTTAATTTAATGTGATATTTACTTTGATAAAAAAAAGAGTTGACGTTTATTAAACCTTATATGCATTTATGGTTTTACTTTATATAAAGAAGGAATAAGCAAGGATAGACATAGTAATGTTGGTCAAACAAATACAGTATTTCATTATGGATGAATAAAAATTCTTTAGGAATGCCCAGCAATATTGAGAGCACAAGTAAGGTGGATGGTTAAGAGTAATTTTATAAGATTAAAAAAAAAAAAGGTAATATTAATTCTAAAATAGAAGAACGTTCCAAAGCTTTATGACAAAAACTATTACTAAAATATTTTTATTTCAAATCTTATTGTCAATATTTTGTTATTAAATAGAAAAAAAGAAAAAGATGATAGAAATGGCTTCGACTAATAATAATTTCAATGTTATTTACTTCCAAGTTAAAGAAAATGTTAGGATTAAAAAAGTTGCAATTATTTTCAAAAATTAATTAATGAATGGAATTAAAGGATAAAATCAGAAAGGAGAGAATGGCCATTTGGTATTCATTAGATTACCTGAATATCTTGTTCATGGCGTCTGGTTTATTTACCACAGAGAGAAAGGCCAGATTATGATTAAATAAATAAATGAATTTCTACCTTACCTCCCCACCAGACCACCACCATTCCCCCCTTCTTTCTTTAAGGGTCCCTTTTAAGACCTCCCATCACACATTATGCTAAGACATCCATGTTGGTAGTTCCCCCACCTGTGTCCTATTTTTTCCTTGTGTTTGAGCAGAGCTTGCTCTGCCGTCTCTTTGTTAACAAACTGAACGTACGCCTCCCCTGTCGTTCGCCCAGAGTTGTCGGTCGCCAGAATTATCCCGTTCCCAACTATCTCCAGCCCTGGCCCAGCAAACAACCAACCAAATATCGGCACGGTTATAACCCATCATTTTTTTTTTAATTAAAAAAAAAATGTGGTTTATACAAAATTAAATGAAAAATATTAATGATTGAAGAATGTGCGATTTAATTTCAATGGAATAATTTAAGATAATAAATTGGTCACAAACAGTTAATAAAAAACACTCATGATTAGAATTTAATTGACTATTTTGTTGAAAAGGAAATTATTTAAACTAAGTTTTTAGCATCATTATAAAATAACAAAAGGCACACATCGCACATCCTTAGCACAAAAACAAAAATAAAAGCAAAACAAAACTAATTTAACTCACATTAACCCTCTCACTGTCAAAAATTAAAACAGATAACTTTTAAAGGAAAAATTCATTTTTTGCCATCATAAAAAATAAATGATAATCATAATTTAATTGAAGATATTTATCATAGAATAATATTTGGCATTGATTCTAAACACAATTCAGGAGACTAAAAGATTAACAATACCAAACATATCAATATTTAAAAAAAAAATTAAATTTAAATGTGTTATTTAAAATACAAAGAGATTTAGAAGATTGAAAAACTCAACTTATTTTTTATCAAAAATGATCACTACATATTCTTAGAAAAAAAAATATTAAAATTAAAATCTGTGTAATGGTTTATATTTAACCTATAATATAGGATTATGTAGATATCATAACATTTCTAACACAAATAGCACAACAGAAAAAGTCGAGATAAAAAAATCAGTAAGTTATGGGAACAGAAAAATGAATTCTTTATATTCCTAAATTATTTAACTTTTAAAATGTCGCGTCTTATTAGATCAGTTTTTCCAGCTAAGTTAAAACAAATAAAAGAAGAAATCAATTCAATTAAAGGGAACTGAAAACATCTGCTCCATTATTAATTAATAAAAAAAAACTTATAACATCCTATATTATAGATATTAGGAGATTATGACACAGTGAAAGGGTTGTAGTGTGTTCATTTTCAAAATAATAAATAAAAAACAAAAAAATATCTGTTAGCAAAATGGATCTATACCAGGGGTGATAAAAACATAGTAAATAAACAAAATAAATATTTGAGTATGGTTATTAAAGTCAATAGGCTTAGCTTTGATTTTGAAGTAAAAAATTGTTTAATCAGCCAATTTTTTTTTTTATGAACAATAAATCATTTACGTATTGATATAAAAGAGATATTTTTCAACAATTACAAGTTATGAGAATACACCCAGGACAGATCAAAATGCGAACAGATGGGCTTAATGAAAATTAAAATGATTCTGCTCAAAAAAGTAGAATATTAATGGAATTTCGGTTTAATTTGGAAAACCTATCAAATTTCAGATGTATAAGGAAATACAAAACGATTCCATCAAAATAAATGGAAGTAATTGAAGTTAATATAGTACACTAAAAATATCAAAATTTCTATTGCAGATTTCTTTTCCATCATTTTTGTTAAATGACTATAATTATATGTATATTTTAAAACTTTTGTGAATAATTTTGACAAAATTAATATGAAAATGTGAGCAGACAAAATACTTTCTTTCTATAATTGTTACTAGAAAATTTTAATAGAAAAATGTAAACAAGTTGAACAAGGAAACATTAATAATACATACCGGAAAAGAAATTTATAATCTCATCAATTGTGCAATCAAATGGTAGACCACGAAGACGGACACAAGCATCGTCCCTACTCAGCTCCATATTGTGGCCACAACGTTCCACAACCCATTCCATTTCTGACTTATTGGCCTTAAAAACTAGAAAAATGAAAGCATTAAAATTAAATGAGCCTCAATATATAATAAAATAAACATTCATACCATGCAATATATGATAAAAAAAACAAATATCTGTAGTTAATACTTATAAGTACGATTACTACTATATAAGAAAAATTGATAAATACACCAGGAATAAATTGCTGAGTCATTTAGTGATAAAAAAATTAATAAAAAATAAAATATGAATTTATGGCAACTTATATAGAAGAATAATGGAAAGTTTATTAACAATCTCATAAACAACTAGTTAAACAACAAATTACTCTACCTTCAATGTATCTGTGACCCATATAATCTCTATCTCTTTTGCATGCCAGTTCAACATCTTCTGGAGTTTCCATTTCAATGTAAGCCTCACCACTTGGACGGCCTTCACGAGAGAGAGTCATTTGGACACCTTTTTTTCCATTTCTGATGTTGCATTCAGCTGAGTAGTAGAATATATATATAAATATAAAGTCAAATTTTAATATTAAAATAAAATAAACTTTGGTATATCTTCAGTTTTTTGCAAAACAATCACTAAGTACAATTGTGGTCGATTTTTACCTGAAGATTCATGGTTAATTTTGATCTTATTGATCGATACAATAACTCATTAAGTACATAAATTACTACAAATTCATTTAGACATTAAAAACAGTTTCACTAGATGCACGATGTTCCGACTTCACAGAACAAAAAGTAACTATTTGTAAAAAGTCATGTACTTGATGACTTCTTGCACTGAATTAATTGATCAGATAGTTAATAAAACTAACTAACTGAGTGAGGTAAGTCTAATTCAAATTATAAGTACTTGCAAAGTAATAAAAGTAAGTTAGTGTTTTTTTTTCAACTATGATGGTGTGCAAAAAGTCATTATATGTGTCATGGTTTCATTTGTATGTACATGGTTAAGTATTATAATTAATTGTCAAAATTAGAATACATATTAGAATTGCAAATAATAATAAATAAATAATCAAAATATTTTAATATTTACTTAATGAATCAGAAATTTTTAATTCATTAAAATGTTACTTGATGATTTTTCACATTAAACCGACGATGTGTTGATAAAACCAATACATAATAGTAGATGTAGGTAAAAAATGAGTCATTGCACATATTTCTAAGTTTTCAGTTAAAAGGCACTTATAATAATTTTAAGGGTGCTAAATAAATCAGAATGCAGTCATTATAAAGTTTTTATTGGTGCCGACATTTCAACCCAAACATGTGGGTCATCATCAGGGCGTTTCGAGCACTGAAGGTATTCAAGTACTGTACTTCAATACTCAAAACATGCCCTGATGATGATCCACATGTTTGGGTTGAAACGTCGACACCAATAAAAACTTTATAATGACTGCGCCCTGAATATTCATCACCCATGCTATAGAGAACAGTCGACTAACTTCATTCCATAACAATTTTATTTAAGAAGTACCCAAGATACTCCTAAAATTATACTATGTTTTAAAAGTATCATTGTTTAACTGTAAGAATATTTTACAAGGAGAAATTAATAATTTAATAAGTAAATAGTGACTTGAATATAGTTATTATTAAATATGTAGCTTTAGCAACTGTGTGTGCTCTCATAGACTTTCTCGATAATACTATCTAGGAATGAGTAAGTTTTATAAATATCTGTATGTATTAGGAAGAAAAAGGATAAATATCAAAGGAGAGAGTTATTGTTCTGGTATCTTAGTAACCAACAATAATTCACAAATAAATCTATACAGTAATAGATTAACAATATTAAAGAATCATATTGAAATTACTACTTACAAAAAAATTTAACTATGTCTTCTTCGGTTGTAGACCATGGGAGACCCCTAACTTTAACCACACATCCTTCATCATTAAGGCCTGCCTGACCCATCTTCGGCTGCAATTTAAAATTAAAGTCAAGTTTGAAAAGAAATTACATAACAGAGAAAAATATGTTGGTTTTAAGATTAAAATTTAACAGTAATATTCGCCAACTTTACCAGTTTAGTGCATAAATCATTTGATATTGATCACTAGACTATAAAAAGATTAAAGCTAAGTTGTTTTATTAATGAATCAATAAATTTAATGGCACCCTCATCGGAACTGACTTAAAAAGATTCAAGTAAAATGGCAAGTAGGTATGAGTGTCCAAGAGAAGTATGGATGGAAATCCTTAATTGTATGCGATTCTAGGAAGCATAATTTTCATCTTTATCACTCACAACTTCGTAATGATAAACAGCATGCTCATAACCGAATATTCAAAATAATAGTTTCAATTGTAATTATGACAATCAAGAGCCCATGCACTTTACGAATTTATAAGAACAGTAACTACGAATAAGAATAACAATATATGAATTCATTTAAAACAAAGATTGAGAAAACAAATAAAAAAGGAATACAGTAAAGATTTAACTAAATAATATCAACTAAAGATATTAATAAAGAAAATTGTGATTAATAAAACTGGTAAGACTTAATAAAACCTTCAGGACCAAGTAAGCTAAACAAAATTAATTCATTTTATGTATTATTATTGACACCTGTATTAAAAATAATTTTTTTTTTTATCAATTATAGACAAGTGAAAAGTTTGATATGAAACAACATAATCTGATAACAACATTTTGATAATGAAGTATACAACTAAATGAACTAGCTCAATAAAAACATATAAAAGTATAATAAGAGCATGATGCTTATCATAAGGGAATTTAAGTGTCCCAAAATTCCCACATAATAAACACTGTAATTCTAAGCTTGATAACCTTTTGAATGGTTGATACTGAGGTGATTTAATGTATTTAAGTATTTCATTAACATACCTAGGACTCAACTATTTCATGTAGATATCAACTATAACAATCCAGTATATTTTGAATACTACTAATACAAGTATGATATAAAATTAAATAAACAAAAAAAGCTAAATAAGAGTGTTATGTTGCCAATCTAGGTCTAAACAAATTATGAACATAAGTACTTCATAACAGATACATAAAACAGGTAACTATGGCAAGTTTATATAGGTAACTTAAAAATTTATGACTGGAGGTTGTTAAATAAAATATAGTGATGAATCGCCAATTAAGCATGAGTAAACATACAAATAATGAAACTAAGGTAATCTAAATTTTAATACACATGCAATGCAGATTAAATTCCATGACAGGAGTAACCTTAAAAATATTGTTAATAAAAAAGCAAAGCACAAACAATCAAGGCATCCATCTTTAGAAAATTAATTATGTACAAACATGAATATGGAACCGGTTCATTTCAATCAATAACCAGCATAATAAAATTACTAAAAAAGCTTTTGCGACTTTTCAACTCAAGTATGGAAGGCATAAAAAACATAATTAAAATTAACATAAACAAACAAAGTGAAACATTGAATAATATAGCACAAATACTGGGTAGAACGACCGAAGCAACGCGCGTGTTGACAAAGCGATAATATTAAAAAGTTGAATAATTTATTAATCAATTATAGATAAAATAAAACAAACATGAAAATACCTTATTATAATATGACTTTTAAGCGAGTAACAATCAGCTAATTGCTAAAGAAACCCAGCACTCAACACACGACCGAGTCACAAAATGGCGAACTCCAACAACCAGATCGAAAAGACGCCACTGAATGTGGAATCCAAAGCAAGCCAAAGCAAGCTAGATCTGTGTGTGAAGTGCTCCGCACAAATAAAATAACTATTAAAAATTTAATAAGAAAATAATATTCAAACAAAATATAAATGTCTATGACTCTCCTCAAATTTTAATAAAACATTTGTGGTAATATTAATATCGGGAAAATTGGTAATTGTTTTCAAAAATTACAACTAACAGTCACAAAATCAACTGATATTAAACTATTTGTCCAAATTCTTTAATATAACAGTGATAATAAAAATACTTGCCTTCCTCGGAAACTTCATAATTTTCAATTTAATTTCGTACTTCAGTCACCACAATGTTCATCTGTCAGCTGTTCAAAAGTACACTGACCGCTGACAAATAAATATCTCCAGTTAACAATCTAATGACTAACTTGATTTATTTTGTATAATGCATTTTATTGAACCGGAACGGTCAATAGTTATCATATTTTAATTAAAAGAGTCTAAAGAAAAATATATTAGTTTACAGTTATCTAGTATTTTTGAGGGGACAGTATTTCTCCAGAATGAGCTTCCTGTTGTAAGTGAAGATGAAATTGATTTTATTAAAATAAAATTTTTAATGGAAAAGCAATAGTGGATTTAGGAATGCCCTATGAATTTGTTTTTCATACTAAATATATTAGTTAACAATAATTGGACTACCTAGCAACTTTGTAGTTGTCAGTCATCATATATTAGGTTTTTTTAGATTTAATGTGCATACTATAATGAACTCTTAAGGAAAGTAGATTGAGGATCCAAGATTATGAATTATATATGGTTTTGAGAATTTTTCAATGAATAATAAAAGTCATACTGATACACTGTTGTAGTGGGAGCAGATCCTCGAAAACATTTAAACCAAAGAAGAACATACCAGAAGGAACTCATCAGTATGACCTTATGAAGCATGCTGCTGCTACATTAGGATCAGGGAATCTGAGATTAGCTGTTTTACTCCCAGAAGGAGAAGACCTTAATGAATGGGTGGCTGTCAACAGTAATAGTTTATAATTTTGTAAAAGAATTTGGTATTTCTTGGCAAATAGTTATTGTATAAAATAATGTACTTCCTCTTTATTTCAGCTGTCGATTTTTTCAATCAAATCAACATGCTGTATGGAACTGTCACTGAATTTTGTACTGAGGATAGTTGCCCCATCATGTCGGCTGGACCCAAGTATGAGTATCATTGGGCAGATGGACATACTGTTAAAAAACCAATTAAATGTTCAGCCCCAAAATATATCGATTATTTGATGACATGGGTCCAAGATCAGCTAGATGACGAAACACTATTTCCATCTAAAATAGGTGTGTGAATAAACTTAAATTTATTTATAAATAAAATTGATTCATCCCTTGTATACATGGCCAGGAAATGTAGATATGCATTTTTCAACTAAATATATATTTTTTCACCGAAAAATAATCCTAGTATTAGAAATCTATTACTCAAATTGAATCTGAAACTGAAATATGTTATTTTAAATTCTATGCCCACTATTGTTTATTAATTTAAATTTTATATTACTTATTTATTTTGTTAGTATACTGTTAATCAAAATTGTTTCATAATTATTTTTTTATTGTGATACCTGTTTCTATGAAATTTTGTCCTTTTTCTATAAATTTGAATGTAACGTTTCCTAAAGACAATCATTGCAAGATGTTCATTTTTTATCCAAGTATCCTAATAGGAAATAACCATAATTTAATCTTTATTGTCATTGCAATTATTCATTCTCTGTTGTTTATGCTGACGATTTTAGAGATTTCATATTTTTTTTTTTTTTTTATTTGGTATTTTATCCACTCTAGCATGGAGCATTTAAATTTTATTGTAGGTATAATATTAATTCTCCCCAAACACTAAAAATTATGAATAAAGATGGGATAGAATGATTAATAAGATTTTTACAGAACACTGATACCTTCTAATAACAAGTAGGTGCTAATGTGACTTATCAAAAGTATGTGATTCTTTTAGTCCCAGGCTTGGGAACGGCTGGCACAGCCAAGTAACCATGCACTAGTCACAGAGAATGTTTTTCACACTGAGTTACCTCTTTCTTCATGCTACTTCAGTTTCAGCTTGTAGAAGGGAGTGGGGTGGCCAAGCAGTCTAGCACGTTTGCAAAATACTTGTTGCCTGGCAACCTGATAAACCGAAGATTATGAGTTTGATTTCCGGTGATGGTGAGCTTTTAATTCTGGTATTAATCTACTGGCCTGGAACAACTGTGCGGCTGAAAAGACGGAAGGGAAGAAGAAAAAAAAAAAAAAAGTTCTAGCTGATCTTCTATCTATTATCTTAATGGCTCTACAACCCTCAATGGGTCCTGGTCTCCTCAATGAGCTTCTGCCCAATTTCTCTATTCTGTGCAGCCGCTTTCCAGTTTCTTACTCCCAACAGGTCTCTAGCCTCACCTGCCACACCATCTGCCCCTCTCAATCTTGGTCTTCCAGCTCTTCTCGTAAAATGGCTTCTCAAGCACCCTTATTTGGATTTCAGACCTTTCCATCCGAGCTATATGTCCTGCCCAACTCAAACTCAAGATCTTCGCCTCCATATTTAAATAACTCAGGTGGTAGTCCTTCACCTTCTGGTGCCTTGTGATTTTTCATCTGGGCAATCGCATCCTGGATCTCTTCAAGCTGAGGTGGTTCTATTTCTCTATAATCGAGCATGATATTGTGACTCCCACAATCCTGCTCTGATTCAGCCGCTCCCTCATTCAGTAAGTAATTAAAATGTCTAGCCCATCTTTCAAGTACTTCTTTCTTGTTAGTGAGAAGTGAACCATCCTTCTTTCTGCATGTTTGAAGTCTCATACTAAAATGGATCCTTCCCTTATCAACTTCTTGAAAAACATTCTATTCCCTTTGGTATTTCTCAGGGCCTCCATTTCTTCAAGCTCTTTATTCTCCCATTCTAGCTTTTTCTTTGTATGGAATCTCTTCTCAACTTGTTTTTCCATTCTATATGTTTTGGTTGCCTGCCTTGTATACTGCTTCTGTACCATCAGTCTGTAGGATACTTTTTTTGCTTCAGTTACCCTCCTACATTCTTCATCGTACCACTGGGATAGCCTTTCAGGATTTTATAATCCAAGGGTAGCCTCTGCTGTCTTAGTTATAACTATTTCTTGACCTTTCCATGTATCCTGAATACTATCCAAATTGACTGTACGTAGTTCATCAGTCATTCTTTCATCTAGTCGTTTATGAAAGAAAGTGAGCGTATTAGCTTCTTTCAGTTTCATTATATTCCACTTCTTTTGTGCACCTGATTTGCATATCTTTACACTAGAGATTCTCGTCCTAACCCGAGCAATGATCAATTAGTGGTCAGAATCTATTTTTGCGCCCATATATACTCTATTGCTTAATAGATTAGATCTATATCACGCACTAATTAGCAGATGGTCTATCTGATTGAATGTGCTTCTATCAGGTGATTTTCATGTGGTCTTATGCATTTGTCGTCCCGGGAATATTGTGCTTCTTATAATCATATTTCGAGATGCAGCAAAATTTGCAACTCTTTTCCCATTGTCATTGCACTCTTCATGGATAATGTGGAGGCCAATGGTTGGTGTGTATATTTCTTCCTTCCCGATTTTAGTGTTAAAATCCCCCAACATGATCTTTACGTCACTCCTAGGGCATACGGCATGCACTCTTTCTTATGCGTGGTAGAAGATCTCCTTTTCCTCTTCACTCAATACTTTGGTTGGAGCATGATAGCTGATAAGACTGTAATTATAAAACACAAGAGCACAAAGTCGTTCATCAATGGAAGAGAATCCAATAACTTGGTGTCTCTTTCACCCTCTCACTACGAATCCAGTTCTGAATGTATGATTCTTTATATGGCAGCTATAGTAAATAGTATGTTTCTTCTTCTCAATAACACCGCTCTATAGCTGTCTAATTCTGTAAGAGGACCTGCAGTTTTCCTGATCTGTATAACGATAGGATATTCCAATTTCCTAATCTAAAGTTTTCTATTCATAAGATTGTATTTCTTTGAAGTGTATTTTATTTTTTACTTATCTTCTACACACTCCTCTCTGTGTGTGTGTATAACTTTTTTTTCCCCTTAATCTATCACTTCATTGGTAGATCACAATACTTGTCTAGTTTTTCACAATATCTTTATGTGTTTTCACTTCAACTTGTTAAGGAACAGATGTAAATCATTTATTTACTCTAATTATACACAAGGCTATTCCCTGCAGTCTTGATCTTCTAGTCCCAGTTAACTAATTTCCTGGGGCTGGATGGCCGAGTGGGCTAACATGTGTCACAGCACCACGTTCCCCGTTAACCAGATAGAAGACAATTAGATAAAATAATTATGAGTTTCCGTCCCAGTGGCGGGAGGAGGAAGGAGGCTTTTAGCTCTGGCATTAATCTCTCGCCCTCATCCCTGGCCTGGGCAAACCCCTTATAGCCTAAAAGGTGTTAAAGAAGAGAACAAAAAAAAAAAAAAAAAAAAAAAAAAAAAAACTAATTGATTTTTGCTATTTCAGTCTCAGCTTGTTACCCTAGCCTGTCTTTGCATTTACTTATATTGTTTCTTAAAATTTCCTTTTCTCATTCAACATCATTCCTTTCTTTACAACAAATCCATGTCACTCAGTCTCTCTCTACTCTTAACTTTTTCTAGCATTTTAGCTTTCTGTTGATTTTATTCTTATCCCTCTTCATTCAATGTTTATTTAAAATGAGACAGTAAAAAGGAATAATAATAAATTAAGAAAACTGGGAATAACAGTTTAAAAACTTAAAGATTTATTTATTCATGTATATTGTTATAAAATTATTAAAATATAAATAAAAAAATGCATTGATTAACACAGTATATTGTAATACCATCACAAATAAGATTACAAATGTGACCCTCTATATAATTATTAATTATATAAAAGTTACATGTAAAATAGCAACAAAATTTTAAGTGTTTGTGGTCATAATGAGACTTTGAATAACAAGCCCACATTTGCTGTTTCACTTGGACATCTGAATTGAGTTTCAACTAATATTTATATATTGTGACGGTCCAGTAAACTAAATCTTGGCATTCATTCTGTAGTTTGAAAACTATACCAACTTCTAATCTGCGAATATGATCATTATTAAGGCTGTAACTTATTTATGTAAGTATATAATAAAAATTAAAAAAATAAATAAAAAGCTGTACTACAACAATCTATAACCCATGAAGGATCTTGATTAACGGTTGCGTAATGAGTTATGACCACCAGGTTTTTCTCTTTAGTTAATTAATTGAGAATACTCACTTTTAAAGGCTTGATGTGTCCCAGAAGTGTCTTCCAATCTACAGTCACAAGTCCACAATCAAACTCAAACCTGGAACTGGTAGAACAGGAGTAATATGCCCTACTCACTGAGCTACCCCTTTCTCCAAGAGATAATTTAATGGAAGCAAATAAATATTTTTAATTTTTGTATTGGATGTATTTTTAAAAATTAATTTTTTCATGTACGTATTTTTAAGAATATTCTTGAAGAAATATTGAATTTCATTAATCTATTTGTGGAACTTCTGAGTATGGCTGTTTTCTGAAGTTTAGACAATGATGGGAAAACACGGTTTTTCTATTTAATTATTCATTTTCATACAATACTTTTTTTCCAGGGGTTCCGTTTCCCAAAAATTTTCAGTCCATCGCCAAGACAATACTTAAAAGGCTGTTTAGAGTTTATGCACATATTTATCATCAACACTTCTCAGAAGTAGTACAACTCGGCGAAGAAGCACATTTAAATACTTCGTTCAAGCATTTTATCTTTTTTGTACAGGTATAATATACACCTATTATTATTTATTTTTAATTTTATAAAATCCAATTTGGCCAATGAGTTGTCTCATATTAATTAATTGTTTTATTAACATACATTTTTTAGGAATTCAGTTTGATTGACAGAAGAGAACTTGCACCATTACAAGAACTCATTGAAAAACTAACTGCTAAAGATGGTCGATAAGCCTATAATTTATTGTTATTCGTTCCTTAGGTTAAAAAGTATTTAAACTGTAGTTTTGCCAAGGAAAAGCAGTTCCTACGGCGTTGTTAAATTTTAAATATCAAGTCTCTGGGAGTTGACTTTTAAGGTAAAAATTTCTCTGTGATAACCAGGATGCTTCATCAGTGGGTTGAACTAGTTGTTAACTTTTATGTATTTAATCTGAATAAGTTACTCATTCTCTTAAAGTAACTTAAGTTTACGTTATTTTGGAGTAAGGAGTCTAATAATTGTTAAAACCAGTTCAAAAAGGTAATACTGCTTTGAGTACCTCTTGATATGTTAGTTAATAGATTTAAAGGCCAGTTCAAAATCTCACAAAACTGAAATATTGTACTATCTTTCTCTCAGATTGTTCGTAATTTATTACTGTTGAATCTCTATATTACTTTAATTTAATCAAAGTTTTATCATTACAGATTGATTACCTTTATGTCTTTTTCTCATGCCTATTGCTAATAAGTAGTTACAAAAATCTTATTGGACAAAGGAACTGGCTTTTGAATCAAAATCATTCTTTTCACGTTTGGCTATTTCATACTGTATGCGATTATACATTAAAAATTCATGAGTGCATAGCTGAATATTCAACATAACAATAACGGGAAAGTTAATTTACTCACTCTGAAAATAAAAAGGAAGCAATGTTATACTTGATGAAAGCCGTCCTCTTGCTCTTTTGTTTTCGAACATTTACAGAAAAATATACCCTCAAGCACTCAGTTTTTAATCAGTTACAGTTAAAATACCGGTTTTCCTGTACATATGCAGCTTTTTAATTGCAGAAATTTCTTATACAAAAAACATCAATAGGTAATTCGAGGTGTGATCTAGCCCTAGGTAGTATTTTTGGTCATTAGATACTTTTAAAGAATTTAAATATGGTATATGTTGAAGTAAAATTTAGGAGATATTACTAATTATATAGCTTCAAGTTATTGAAAAAACAAAACAAACATGATTAAGAAACTTAATTCTTTTGAAATACTTTGTTTCATTTTAAAACTGATGCCTTCTATATCCTCAATTTTGCCTTTAAAGTTAGATTGACGTAGTTGGGCTGGGTTGTCTTCCCATAACACACAGCCAGGTCAGAGTTCTCATATGTATGGCTCCTGACTTGGTCTAGAATTGCCCGAGTATAGTTTGTGAATTATAATTTTATTCCAAAAGAATAAAAAAAAATAATCTGCTTTTTCTGACCAATAATATTTAATTGTTTTTGAGGATTTCAATGTCTTATTTATTTTACATTTTTATTGTTAAATTTTTTTGATCTTTTTTGAGACATCTTTTGCTCTCAGAGACTTATATTTGAATTGTCTTATTGGCATTAAGAAACCAACTTAATATATGTGATATGTAAAGTTTATATTATTTAAGAATATTCTTGTCGATGTTGTTCATGAATCACGCAACTGTTGATGAAATATCAATTTATTCGACTGATTTACATAATCATAAGTGAAAAAAAAAAGAGTTATGAATATGTCACATATTTAAAATTGATATTTTTTGTATTATATAACTTCATTTGACATATTGAAGAAAGCTGTTATTAAGTACGGTTAATGTATGCTGTCTGTACGATGTGAAAGTCATGTGAATCATTAATAATCAGCTTATTCATGTTTATTTTATATATGGGAACAAAATCTGCTGTCCATTTTCAATTTTCAATGGTAAAGCCCATTTGATAAAAATTACTGAATTCTAAATTTTTATATGTTTAGCGATTGATAGAGTATGTACATATATATTTGACATATCAAATATTTTATAAAGAAAAAACCTTCCAACTTTTATTATTCAATTCTTATTCGACAAATATTTATTACCTCTTGTCTTTTAAGTTAATAATAAAAAGTATATTTGATTTGAATTATGAAAAAGCAAAATTGTATTTGAAAGAGTTTAAAAAATAATTGTTTTGAATTACAGTTTTTTTTTCTATTTATTCTAGTTTTATTGTTGGAATTTGAAAATTAAATAAATCGCATATTGTTTTATACCAAAATTGTTTAAAATCTCTGTCTAGCTATTTATATGTTCAAAAAAATGGCATTTAATATTTTATATTGTAAATTTTAAGTAGTTACATATGTTATAAGAAAAAAATAACTGACCGTTTTCATAAAAAATATTTATAACATTTTTTTATTTAATTAAATGTTCAAAATTGTATATATTTATCTTGGTTACATAACTATTTTTATTTTGTAGTTCTATGAAAACAATACACTACAATTTTAATTAATTAATAAATATCTACTATAGTTAACTCTTGATAAAAAACATTTTCCGATGGGTTTGCAAATCACTTCAAGTTATACATAATTTGAGTATAGATTTGTTAAATAGTGATTTTTTTTTTTGTTTGTTTTGTCAGTGTATACTCACTTTAAAAATTATCTAATTTAATATTATGTTTTTAATGCTTGATAAGTGTGATAAAAACTAAGTGAATCACTTTACACATTTGATGGTTAAACTCTGAAATACAGATATGTAAATATAATACAGATAGAAATAAACAAAATTTTCATTTCAAAAGTCATGCTGAACTATTTCATGAGTGATGGGATTAAGGCTGAGAGAAAAAAATTATTAAATTATGGAATATGTTACAACCAAATTTGTGGTTCTGTCAAAGATTAAAGAATTTATTTGCTAATCTAATTTTATAAGAAGCTTCTTTAGTATACTTTTTATTAAACAAAAGATTATGTATGTATCTTTATCATTCAGTATTTACTAATCAATTTATTTCAATAATTTAAAGTATGTTGGTTACACACATATATACTTATCGAAAAAAGTATTTTAAAAATCTTCAATTTGTAGTATCAGGGACAGATTAAGCCTCATATTCATGCTTCAATCCATTGTTTCACCCTCAAAACCAAACAGGGTTATTTTGTTTAATGAAATATTTTATTGGTTTATGAGAACAACCTTTTGTTTTCCTTAACAAAAAGATGACATCCTCCTGACACATGAAAAGGAGAAACTCTAGGAACGTTGTATTCGAATGTAATATCATTTTTTTTTAAGATTAGAAATACTATTTATTTAACACGTTTTCATAATATCTGGGACCTCTAAACAAAAATTACTGCCCCAGATAAATTGATGAGGTGGGCACAAGTAGTAAAATTGGTATGTAATATGGTATTATTCATGTCTGCTAATTTGTTTAGATTACAAAAATCATGCTATAGAGGTAATTAATCTCTTGTTTTATGTATTCAAAATGAATTACCGCTTTCATTATAACAGTATCACATCTAAAAATATTTTACATAATGAAGCTTAAATTTATTTATCAGGTATGTAGGCGTATTGTTTCGGCCATTTTTGTGTTTTTAAGGTTTATTCTTTTTACTCCATATATTTTTTATTTAGCGTTTGGTTGTTACTACCTTAGATGAATATAATATGATTACATTGTTTTCATTGTGTTACAATGGTAGAAAAATAATTGGATAAGTCCTGAAAGATGGTAATATGAAACAAAAACAGTTAGTCAAGTTTGTTTTTTTGAATTTTTTAAAATATTAAGTATAATAGTCACTGTTTCTCTATTCACAAAAATAGGATTTTCACGATTTGGGTTCTTTTTAAGTTCTCCAAATTCTTCAAGGTTTTCTAATTTAATCCATTTTTTCAAGCAACTATCGGAGAATGAAGTAAGAATTGTGGAACATCTAATTAGCTGAACTCAATATAAACCAAAAGCAGCGTTTTTTAAAAACTATTCACCAGAGTTCCCTAAAATGAGATTCATCGTCTAGAAATAAGTCGTAATCATCTTTATAATTGTTGATAAAAAATTTCAAACATCCTTTAGACAGAGGCATATTGATTCTTTCTGGCTAGCCTTCTCCGTTTGACCAACAGTTTCGGTGAGTATAACAATCACAATTTTTAATTAATCGATGTGTTTTACTTGCTAATAGAGATACGTAACCAGTTTATCTCATATGAGTAATTATCTAAAATAAAAATTGGATGGCATGACTTTTTCAAAATCTTCATTACTTTTTTTTATAAGTGACTGGCCTATTTGTGAATGTATATGTATAATATATTTTGTTATTAATTGGTTTTAACACCCTTAAATGTTCTTCAACTTGGGCAAGAAGGGAAGGAGTTGTGAAATGTTAGCTTTTTTTTATTATTTATGAGTTTGTTTTATTTATTATTGTTTTTAAGCTTTTTTTTATTGTTCCTTGAAACCTATATATTTCCTATGTATCTTCTTAATGTTAGATTATATTTTGTCTTAATGGTAAACAAATTTTGTTATAAATAGGATTGTTTAGCTTAAAGTATTGTGTTTGGGAAAGGTAGAGAAAAACAGCTTTCCTCTTTTTGAACCTAACATTTCCTTAAGGTTATATTTTTGCTGTGATTTAATCAATTTCGCAATTATATGATAAAATTATTTAATGGTATAGCTGCATTCATATTTGAACTTTTCTGCTGGATTTTATAAAATGAGATTCTCTCATACGTTTCATTAGTTCATTTGGATGGACCAATGTTTATTTACTTTACAATTGATGGAATCATATTGAATAATGCTAATCATTAACAGTACGATTTGGTTTGGATTACTGTTGATTCATACTTAAACTTCTTGTATTTCATTCCCTCAGGGCTATCAGTTACATAATTTAGTTCACTTTGTTATCTTTATATTTATCCTCTCTCTCGTAATTCTCTTATTTATAAAACAACATACTAATTTTATCATTATCAATATTTAGTTATCAAAAATTTATTTGGATATTAGATCTTTCGCTTGCCTCAATTTCTTTCTATACTAACATCTGAGTAACTTTGGGGTGAATTATGTTTTCTGACATTAAGCATCTATGCTTTGCTTGATCCATGATGTCTTTCATTTTTTCGCCTGCCACCTTATAAGTTTATTTGTTTCAAGCTTACCTTTCATAAGTACTTATTTGATGTACAAAATATTTATTTATTTTAACGTGTGTCATGTACTGATATTATTTTTATTAAAATTTCTTTCTTATTTCCTTATTTTAATTTTTTTGTGTGCCTTAAAATTCCATTATTTCATGGATAGTTTACCTGTTTTCTTGAACCTAATCAGCTCTATCTCTCTGGTTAACAGGAAGGCCAGATTGGTACATTATCCAATGTTTTAGCCCGATAACGAGGCCCCAGTTTAGCAGAGTTGACTGTACTTTAGAATTGAATAAAGAAATATTTATGAAAGGCCGTTTCTGAACTCAATTATGTTTTGCAAAAAAATATTTCATCTTTATACTCAACGTAATGAAGTATACAGAAGAGATATTAATAATTGGCACATTTATTTAAAAAGTTAATATTAATGTTAAATTAAAAATATTTAAGTTTTGATCAAAAACATTAATTTTAAAAACATATCTTGTTTAATACAAAAATATTGGTAAAATCTAACATTTAATAATTATATTTTGCCAAAGATGCCTATACCAAATTTTATTGTAGTCTGCTAAACTAACTTTCACATCTTGAAGCTCTGATTGATTCTTTCTGTTTGTTAGTACATTCAATGTAAAGAAGAATCAATTGTACAATGTTTTTAGTTTTAAAATGAGCAATCCACATTTTATTTAATTAATTCGCTTTTTACAAGTAGATAGAAGTTAATATATAATTCTTTTCCATGCGAATTTTCTTTAAAAGCACAACATTCATGAGTTATTTACTCTAATTGACTTATAAATTAGTAAGTAATTACTATTTGACATTGTGATTATATGGTTAAAATGTTTTTGTAATTTGATGTTGCTAACTATGCAGCACAGACTAACTCAGTATAAGTTTTGCTTCTTTTCCTTCCTAATTTGTTCTTTAGAAATCCTTTCAATATCATTTGTATTCTTACCTCATAAGATTATCATTTAAATTATACTAATAACTCGATCTCAAATACACTTTTATTTATTATTATGTTCATAGAAAAACTATAAGTTTTATTTAAGAATATTGCAATTATTTAAAATATATTTTATATAAAAATTAATGTTTCTCACAATCCTGTAATTGCATTTTGTTTGTTTAAGTTATTTTATATAAATATATATTAAATTCTAAATGTTAAAATGTGTTGTTTTTTTTATTTCCGTACTTTCCATAACCTTTTATGAATAGTAATCCTGCCATTAATCTTAGTACTCAAGTGTCTAACACAAATTGTTCTTGTAGTAAGAACATGTTACTTTCAAATCTTATCTTTTTGATCTGGAGTTTTTAACTTTTGAGACAATCTTTCTTCTCTGGTAAAATGGTGTGATGAGCTACAATAGTCAAATAATCAATATATTATTTAGGATGATGGTCGATAGAGGGAGTTAAAATTAAATATACTGCTGTAGTTCATTATTTACAGTATTTCAACTTGGGTAAAATGCAAATTATGCAGAGGGAACCTGTGAGTTGTAAGAGTTCATCATGAGGTTATATTCCCTCATTAGAGTTTTTTTTTTGCACTGAAAAATACCTGTGAAGTGGGATGAAATATCAGTATATCTTAACAAATACTCTACTCTTAACAATGTGTACTTCATTTTGCCTCTCCTTCTCCACCATATAATCATCACTTAGATTGCAGTTATTCTATTAAATAGTTACATACTCGACTAATCCAGCATGTGAGTTTGTTAATTATTAAAAGATCATATTGTTTTCTAGACTCAGGAACACTTTGTACCCATTAAATTGAGGCTACCCCAATGTATGGCATATGGATTTGTACTAACCCTTTATAGGCCAATATCCCCATATAGGAACACAAATGTTTGGAAAATTAAAAAAAAATATTTACTTAACAGAGGACACCCTTAATATTTTTAAAGATTTGAGTGAAGTCAGAAATTATTTTAGAGAGCAAAAACTAATTGGTTTACTTCAAATCTTAGTTGCTTATGATTTTTGGAATAATGGTTAACAGATATAAGTTGATTATGTGGTGTATTGGTTGGAGGTTATTATCAAACTATTGGCTCCAGGTGTGTGAATTCATAGTGGTGAAGTAATGGTTCACTACTCAGTAATGTTTTTTGATTAAATGAATTTCTAAATTATTTTTTTGAATAAATGGAATATACTTTTTAATTTTTTTCTTTTAGAAAAATGTTTTTAAAAAATCAATAGATATAAACTACTATGAACTACAGCTAATATTGACAATGATTAGGTTTGTTTATTGCAACAATTAAATATACTTAAATATTTTCTCTTCTATTTTTTTAATTCCAATTTAAAAACAGACTTATTCAATTTTACCCTTTGACAATATTTTTTTTTCTCTCATGTAATAGAAGAAATTTTAATTTTTAAAATAAATTATGTTTTCTGCCCATTTCTTTTCCTCCATAGTACCTTTTCTATTTCATGAGTCATAAAATCTTACTATTTTTTAAATTTACTATATTTCAAAAATCTTGCTATTTTTATTTTCATTTATCTATATGTGTAATATATAGTAAGGGAAAGTATCGCGATAGTGAAAATTTTTGAATCTGAGTTTTCAACGGAAATATAGGTTTTGATGTTCCCTGAGTCCAAATAACCAAGCCCCACAAAATGGTCTGTGTGTCTGTAAATCTGAACTGTCTAACTCAAAAATGAAAAGTTGTACGAAAATGATATTAAGTATTTAAGATGATATATGATTCAGATGTTACAGCAACTTTTTTCTTAAAATCGGCTAACCGGAAGTGCCACTTTACTTGAATGGTGAAACACATTTTTACAATTTTCTCAAAAACAGCTCTAACGATTTTGATTAAACTCGGCGTATCATTGTATATTAATTGAAAATGAATCTCCGGAAATAACAGTTAGAAGATATATGTATAATTTATCGTTGGAAAGCAGAATTAAAAAAAAAAAAAATCAAACAAATAAAGTTGTTGAAGGTAATGGAGAGTGAAGAAAAATTATAAATAATAGTTTGTGAAAACTAACATTATTTAACGTAAATAACATGTTTCCTAGTAAATTAAATGAAATTTTACTTAAATGAAACGCAACATTATCCATTTACAATTAATGTGACAACTTTTGATCTAACCATGGCAGGCAATGAAAGTCTCGTAATTGCATTTTAGTAAACTTTACAATGGAAATATATCACTTTAATAGCTAATAGTTCTACAATCCATAATCATTTATAGGTTAAATATTCAGATGTACTTTTAAATCTCTCATCATTGTTTAATATTAATTTTAGTGGTGTTTCTAGGGACAAAATTTATACCTTTATTCACAGTTCTATATTTCAACACTGCAATCACCTACTATCAACCTACTCACTACTACCTGCAATCAACTTACTCACTGCCTGTATACCTGGTTATAACTTTTTCAACTAGAAATATCACTAAAATGACATTACTCAAAAATGTTGAAATTGGAGTTAGTGATTCTGTCAACTGAAATGCTCAGAGACTGAAGTTGTGTGGTTTTTATAAACACATGGAGTAACTAGATTTGTATTTTGTTCTGTCGATATAATAAACAGACTTTTTGTAATTTTAATGGTCTTAATGATTTGTTATCTGTAAGTTTTAAGCTTTAGCTCCGTTTAAAATGCACTTCACGAATTGTATAATAGCCCAACATTGCCAGAAAATAATTTCTATTCAAAGCGCGCACCAGATTTTTTTTTTCAACTGGCAGTTAATACATTTTTTGATGTTAAAAAAGAGAATGCTATAATTGTGAAAGGATAAATAAAATTTGATTTGGATATGAATTCAGTCTGAAAAAAGTTAATGTGTATACCTTAATAAAAATCTCTTCTATTCTTGTTACAGATTTATAATAATTAAATAAAAACTTAATGTACATTCAGATTAGTTGATTACAAAAATGATTCTAGGAAATAAGAAGTTGCATTATTCCAACTTCTCTTAAATTATTTCTTTTTTTAAGCCTTGAGATTGTTTCATATTTATTTATAATAATGCACATTTACATTTATAATAAAAAAAAAAAAAAAAATGTAACGTATTATGATAGGTGAATGGGACTTAATATATTATTTAAGTAAACTTAATGTAATATAAAAAATAATCTTAATTATTTATATATATATAATTTTCAATATGTAATCAGCATTAATTGCTGCCATAAAAACAAAAAAATATCTTCCAAAACACCAATTTTACATAAAAAACAATGATGTTATAAATAAAACATCAAAGAAAATATAATTATAGCTCTTTTGTCTTACAAATTAGGCAGTGCAGGGAATTCGACAGAGGCTTCAAAAGAAGAAATCTCATCAGATGACAATGTGAGTATCAATAAAACAAATTGAATGTATTACAAATATAAAAAAGTTTAGAATTTTATATGTATGAAAGTTATTCATTAAAATCAGAAATGAAAGTTAATTAAACAATTGCATTACATTTGTATAACTGAAGGGTAGTTAAGTGGATAAAGGTGGTTAACAACATGTTTAAGAATTATTAAAAAAATTGAATTCAGTTGGAAATCAGCATTTTTGTTTTAAGAAAGTTGATGAAACAAAAAATGTCAAGTCTATATTAAACCTATTTTAATATACTTACAGACTTCTTACATTAAAAGAGATCTGGTGAGTTAAGATTTTGTTTGAGAATCACAGGTGGAGCATCTTAGGCCCCAAAATATTTTGTAATATTTTTAATACACTTATACTAAGAGAGTTCAGATCTATTTGAAAAATATTTAAGTAAAAACTTCATTAAATTTTATTTTCCAAAACATAAATATTGAAAAAATTACATATATTCTGACTTATTAATTTATTTTTTATGTTGCTCTATGAGAGTAAGTGTCATGGCCGCTACTGCAGTTTAGTTTTCAGTTCGCTCTGTGATTATTACTTTGCTATGTGCTTATTAGTCAAAACTCTGTGTTAATAATTGATTAACAGTGACATTATAAACAGTTGAACATTTTTAAGTTCACGGATAAAGAGGTGAGTTACAATTTATTAACAATGAAGTGATAAATTAGTGCTCGTTTGAATAGCACATGTGGCTGTTAATTCCCTTGCTTCTTATCTTATTTACGTTAAGTTCCCGGCCAAGGTTTGTATACTAGCTCGCTTCCGTCAGCTGATCTCAGTACGAAACCAAAGACTTGTAGAACTCCTTTTTTTTTTTTTTTTTTCTTCTCCAAGAGACAGTTTATTTAATTTTTTTCCTTTGTTTATTTATTCTCAGAAATGTTTTGTTTTATTTCTGTTTCTGAGTTTGTAATTTTTTTTTTTACTTCTTTTTAATAGATCGTAAATTCTTATTTTGTAGTTTTAATATTTAGGTATATATATATATATATTTTTCTTTCTTTCTCTCTTCTTATCATAATGGAAGATATGAATTTGGACGAGAAATCTTCATGTGAAGATTCAGAGGACGAGACACCATTTTCCGAGGTTAGCGAAACTGATTCGCAATATCTGAGAAGACGCTCGCTTCAAAAACGTCACAGAACCTCTGCCCCTGGATCAGGTGGCAATTCGCCTAACAAGAAGAAAAATAAATCAGCAAAATCTAAACAGACAGCTGAACAAAATAAATCTAAACAGCCTGCCGAGCAAAATAAATCACCACCCAGAACTAGAAGAAAATCAAACACCACAAAAACAGCTCCAACTGCACCAAATACCACAGCCAGCAATAATTTTGATCTTGGTAGTAACTTACCTAACAAGCCTCCGGTACCTCAAGGTTTTACTGACCCCGAGCCGCCCCCTATTTTTGTCTCTAAAATTGAAAATTTTATATCATTCGTTCAAGAAATTGCCAATCTTATCGGACAAACCAGTTTCCGCTGTTTTTCTAGGGTTAATGACATTAAGATTAACACGAGCTCTAAAGAAAATTATAAAACTCTGATAAATTATTTTACAACTAAAAAATATGAATTTCACTGTTACCAACTGAGACAAGAAAAGGCATATCGGGTGGTATTGAGAGGCTTGCACTCAACCACTTCCATATCCGTTATCAAATCTGATCTAGAGGAAATAGGACATAACGTTAGCATATAGCATGCGTCCTACATCCAACGCAAAAATATCCATTGCCACTGTTTTTCGTTGATTTG